GTCTACAATGACTTTTTAAAAATTATTCACGTGACCCTCTTTAAGTCACGTGGACAATTTTTAAATGTCATCGTAGACTCGATTGTCTACCTAAGAGTTTACTTGAATAAGACCCAAAAATGCAATTTCCATCACAATTACATCTATTAAGAGTATATATGTGTATTGCTTCCTCCTGTAGAAAATTTTATAGATTACTGTGTCATAAATTATTTTTTCAGATTCCACTTGACGCACCTTGGAAAGCACCGCATGCAGAAGAATGGGATAAAATGAGTATGCAGCAGTTTTATGATAAACATATTTGGACAAGGTGAGTTTATGTTATGATTGATGAAAAATAATTTCTCTAATTTCTATGAAGGAATTGAATTAATTTGGATTGGCATAGCCCCTTGATGAACTGTGGACTCTGTCACTTCCGACATCTGAATACTACAGCATTCTGTGAAATCTGTCATCATTTTCATCTCCCGATTTATTTCCTTATTACTTCAACCAGAAAAGTTTTGAGTAGTCCGGATTCTGAATATTCCGAATTACGACATCAATCAGCGGTCCCGTCCAACAATTTGCATTCAATTAACATTGGATAATTCACTCTTCAATCAGTGGGTGTTAATTGACAAGCATTCACCAATCAATTATCTGTGAGCATAAAACACATGTCGAACTTTGTTGATTACTTTTCGATCCCTGCATTGGCCGAGAAAGTTCATCCAGATTTTCCATCATGGTTCCCCCTTGTCAGTAATGCAGGACGGAGGGCCTGACAAGGACAGCTGTCTAGTCCTTCAAATGAGATGAAAAAACTGAGGTCCCGTGTATATATTGGAATGCACGTAAAAGATCCCCTGGCAGTTGGAATTCGATATAAGAGTAGGCGTTAGTGCCGCTGCCCGGGAATAATTTCCATCATAGCACACTGTATGGTGTATGCCCGTCTTCATTAGCCCAGTATAGGAGCAGAACAGTAGGACGTTAAACCCCATTTCATTTCATTTCATTTCATTTCATTTCATTTGTTGATTACCTTGAACCATTAGACAAAATTCAAAGTCTCCCCCCCCAAAAAAAAACCCCCAACTGGTATTAGCGCTTGGTATTTGATTTGAGTTTCTCACGTCAAATACAACGACATTATATATAAATTGCCGAGATGAAGAATCACTATCATTATAAAATTGTGTTCATAATGTGTGATCATACAGAATGTACAGAAAGCGTTATCATATTTTAAGTTCTTATTACTCGAGGGTGCATTATAATAATACTTACGGTATTCAAAGGTACAATAATACTTCTGGTATAATACTTCTGGTATTGCGGCAATTGAGTATTCCAACATTGTATCGATCCCGTACAATGTCGGAATTGACAGTCCACTGTATATATATATATATGGGAGTTCTGCAGTCCACCTTGATCTTGTTTAGACAATCAATGTCTGTATAAGCAAGCCTTTCAAAGGATTTTGCAGAATTTTCTGTATCACAGGTTTTGATTGGTAGGTTGATCTGGAGTTAACCAATCTCAACCTGCACATTGATGAAAGTGCCTTATAAATAAATTTCTTCAGGCCAACATGAGAATTGTAATTAGAATGGTAAATAATTTTGATACTATACATGTTTTTTTCCCCAGAAAAGCTAGTAATTTTGTCAAAGATTTTATTCGACTAAATGTTACATCTGAAGCTTATGAATCTTCCTTATTGTGGTTCCTGTGGTATGTGGCTCAGTGTGGTGGAATAGATCGTATTTTCTCCACATCAAACGGAGGACAGGTTACCACTAGTTCTATTTTATTTGTGAATTGACAGTGTATTTGTTAGATTGGAATTTGTTGCACAACAGTATTGCTTGCTTGGATGCTCATTAGTTTTAACCCAACTCCTACTTACACTGAACTAGCATTAACCAATCTTAAAACCTTAATCCCTAGAAAAAGAAGAGCCCTTTACCAAATAATCACTGTTGAAACATCCTCATTTTGAAACCCATTTTTATTTGCCTTAATAGCACTCATCTTACTAAAGGAAGATATTGTCATCATATTCAATGTAATGATTTGATCAGAATACTGTATGTTTTATGACACTGAAATGAAGCAAAACGAAATCTATTGGTGCTCTTTGAAGTTTTTATGGCATTTCTTATTTTGTGACATAAAAACAGTGCAGTCTTTGAAATAACATAACATTATCCTCACCTCTCCGTTTGACTTCAGAGTTATGTACAGTGTATAATGAGATGAAAAATCCTATTGATTTTCAAGGATTTCTGATACTGTTGGAGTTATGGGCCTTGATTACATAGAAAAAATCTTGTGGCTAAAGATATATTTCAATTGACTTGAAATTCATGACTTTGAAGAAACTTCATTGCCTGGCAACCCATCTTAAAATTTTCAAATACTCTTTTGTTTTTCCTCAAACATTCTATTGGAAAGGTGCTCTTCAAATTATACTCTTCAAAAAAAGCATGGGGATATTCAGAAACAACGCAAAACTGCGGAAATGCACGGCTGTTTTTATTAGAGGTAACCAGTGTAAGTTAATAACAGGCCAATTGCCTACACATGAACATAAACAGTTCATATGGGCGGCTTATCCGATGGCCCCATTTCACTCGCAAAGAGATACACCGTCAAAAGTGAAATTGGACGTTTTTGATTTTTGTCTTAATAATGAGTAATTGCTCCACCAATCCTCAGACATTCAGCAATTCGTCATGGCATGCTCCTAATCAACCGTTCAATCACGATTTGGGGCAATCTGACTCACTCCCCTTGGAGTGCCACGGCCAATTCTTGCAGTGTTGTTGGTTGACTTTGACGTCGACGAGCACGTCTCCCGATCAAATTAGACGTAACACACCAAAGCAAAGATGCGCTAAACAGTAATCTTATGCAAGAACTGATAGGAATGCTAACATGGATGTATAAACCAGCACGTGGCAGTTTTCATCAACCCTTCCTTGAAGTGTCAGATTTGACAATGAACCCCTCCAACGTGTATGGCGCTATTGCATGTCGCATGTGCAGCTCAGTGGTTCTGTTGGGGCGATAAGTTCTTCATCTGTGAACATACTCTCAAAGCATGTCGAGTGTTCATGACTATTAATCATATCACAACCTGCATAGGTATTTGCATTTCAATATTCCCTACTTTTTTTGAAGAGTATATATTTATTTAGTTGGTATATGGTATATGCAGACATTCTTTTCAGCAGGTTTTGGTCTATTTCTAATTAGAAAAAGAATAATTTTACCGTTGAAGTTATTGCTTTTCTTGGATACATGGCTGTTATTTTTATGTCTGTAGTTTAATTGTTTGCAAAATATATTTGATCTCTGTTTTTAAAGCACAACATTGGTGTCAGTCATTATTACATATGTGATAGAACTGGTTAAATACATTCCAAATATAATTTTAACACAGAGATCATTGCTACGGGAGACCGCAACAAGTACGTGAAGAAACGGGAAGTGACGCCAAACATGACAAACACGAGTTGTCCTTCTATATAACAGACTGAAGTAACGAGCGGTAAGACTGATAATTCCGTTGAAGTTGAAAAGTTATTATATGGGACGGTGAGAGGGTATCTGACAATTCAAAAATAGAATTGGCTGTCACTAGATAAGGGACATGAGAAAAAGTAGAAAAATCCCGTGCATTTCCCTGTTTTTATTCATTCTGTTCTTAATAAAAACATGGTAATGCACGGACTTTTTCTAATTTGTTTGTTATCTTTTATCTACTGACAGCTAATTCTTTTTTTGAATTGTCAGATATCCTCTCATCGTCTCATATAACAATTTTTCATCTTCAACGGAATTATCAGTGAAATGAAATTTGATCGTTTGTCTGTTACCGCTCGTTACTTCAGTCAGTTATATAGAAGGACAACTCATGTTTGTCATGTTTGACGTCACTTCCCGTTACACAACTCCCGTAGCAATGATCTCTGTGTTAAATTATATTTGGGATGTATTTAACGAGCTCTATCACATATTTTATAATGACTGACACCAATATTGTCCTTTAAGTATAGATTTATAGTGTGCATGACATTTTGTGAAAGGCCCAATATAAGCGGCAAATATAGAATACTCTCCATTGTTTATTATAATTAGTATCTGACATGTATGTACATCTATTGTTTTACTTATCACCTACAACAATTATATTGTATTGGAGAAGACTCCTTTATAAGTTTTAGTAACTTTTATCCGATCCATTTACTTTAAAGTAATAAAATATGGTTAAATCAGATGAAATGCTATAAAATTTAGAATCATGGGATCCAGCAAAGTTTATTGAAAGTGTGATTCACACACCAATCTTAAATAAAGTACATGGTTGATTAGAGTAACTCTTGTTACACTAGTGTTCTGATGAATACACATGCTTTCCATGTTTCCCTCAAAGTTCAATATTTGTAATTTCAATAATTCCAAATGTATTATTTAAGAATTTATCATATCGAGAAACACTTCTGCACTCTATAAATCATCAGACATGTAACATCAATTTAATTTTCGGTAATGGGATTTCAGGTATAACAATTTAGATTGTATGATACCTGCTAAAGTTTGTTTTTGCATTTCTATTCTTATATAGATGGTGATGCACTTGATTGTGATTGCTTTGGGCTGCCGATAGACTTGGTCGCTTGCCTGTAACTTTACAAACATAAATAAATAGCAGTACCTTAAATGAAAGATATACCAAATGAATTGATAGTTTTTTGTGTCTTATTTTCCCAAACCACTAACAATTTTACATAATTTTTTGGTCTGAAATATTATTTGTTTTATTTATAATGACCTGTTAAAAAGTTAATTTGTTGTTTTAAGAAAGATAAACGTTACATTCAGTGGAGGTGCCTGAATATCAAATTCTTTCATTTGCATTGCATACTCTGAAACTCAACACTTCTTATGAAATATTCTTTGGTACAAATCCCTGATAGCTATATTATTATATTGGTTACAGTGGTGGTGATTTTTGGGCGTTAGATCATGTGCGAATAAATCTATGTTGTGAACCATGTGAAATATCATTATTGTGGTGTTTGTGGTATACTAAAAGTGCTGCCGGCACAAGGCGAATAAATGCTACAGAAAATGGTGCACAGGTATATACATGTAGGCAGTGTAATATAAATCCTTTTCCTTTAGATATATAAACCTGTTTCCATTAGCTTAAACGTTATATTGTGTATAAACATAATGATGAATGGGAGGTGTACTGTTAAAAGTAAAATCGGGCCATGCCACGTGCAAACATTATTGAATTAAGTATTGACCATATGTTATAACTTTGAAGCATAGTTTCATATTCTAGTTGTCAAGTGGTTTAATCCCCATAAGCATCTTAACATCGCATATATTTTTCAAATTTTACGTAGAAATATCATTCCTCTGCATTTCATTCAATAACATTAACAGAAAACATTGAGGAAAATCGGATTGAGTGGGTGAAAATATTAAATAGACAAATCAAACCTGTCAAGATGTTATTGTCCTTTAGAATGTTTAGATAGAATAATTTGGCAGGGTAGAACTTGAACTTTTATTAAAGGCGAAGCAAAAAGTTTGCTATGGCCAAAAACATATATACGTATAGAAATAGTATGCATTGTAATTTAGTAATCTTTTCCCAGTATTAAAAGTACACTGTCTTGGGAGAATGCTTTAATACTTGGTCATGAGAATAATGTACAGTAACCCCACATGTGGCATGTTCATAAAATTTTTTCTGTAAATGCTTAAAGAATTATTTTCTCTCTGCTTTAGCTTCAATGCATGCTTTATTGTGCTCTCTTCTTTTAGATAATTTTCTTCCATTAATGTTACACATCAGTACATGTATTTTTAAAACAGTAAACTGAGTGTGTTTTTAAATTATTTCCTGTAAAATTTACATACTTGTATGATAATCTTATTAACAGAGACGTAGTGTCATTTAAACAGACTTGTAATCTTATTTAAACAGGCATTATGTAAGCGCTAAATCTGCCTATTGCAGGTCTTTCTTTGGACCTTAAATGTTATATAAATTAATTAGACATTTACAAACATGACAAGGCCATAATCAACTCTAGATGCCATTGGATGGCTCTGATTTTAAGTAAATTAGAACGGATTTGCCATTTAATGATTTAATTTAAAAACCGAGAAGTGAGTCTTAAGACTAGAATGACCAGTATGGTATTTTTGTTCAATGTACACATCTTGTTAAAACTACAACCATTGATAACTTCTCTCAAAATAAAGTAATTTGAATGGAATTTTCAATATATTCGCCAGCTCTTTATCTAAATCTTACATAATTCTCCTTTAACAGACTTGTATTCTTATTTAACAGACCTGTTATCTTATTTAACAGACCTGTAATGTTATTTAACATACTTTTAATCTTATTTAACATACTTGTAATCTTATTTAACAGACTTGTAATCTTATTTAAAGACTTGTAATCTTATTTAATAATCTTATTTTTAGAGAGTAGTACAGTACAGCACTCCTCATACATTTTCTTATATTTCTACAAAATAATGTTGAACTTAAACATACATTATGCAAGAGCTAAATCTGCCTATTGCAGGTCTTTCTTTAGACCTGAAGTGTTATCTAAATTATTAATTAGACATTAATTAACTTATCCAGCCAATAATAACTCTCGATGTCATCGCTAGCCTGCGATATTTACTGGATTAGGATCTGAGTTGCTGCTCGTCTTTCATCCATGATTAGATCACGAAATTGATAATCGAGACTATGTTTTTTTATTGTACCAACTTTAGTAATGATGATCGAGGCAAGGCCAAAAACTCAATCGCTAAATTCTCGGTTCAGAGTGGATCAATTTGACTGAAATTTTCAGCAAATAACCTTTACATTATCTAGTTTTTAACTATTATAGTGATCAATCAATTAAATAAGACATGTGACTTTTATTTTTGTGTCTAAGACTATTTTTATTTGAGCAAAATGGGATCTTTTTTTTCTATTTTAAGGAAAGAAAGTTTGTTGGTGGATCACAACAGATCAGCATTAAAATGGCTCAAAAGATTGGTAAAGGTGAGTTGTCTCTAGGAATTTAAATATTGTTCTCAACAATAAGTCCAGCTCAGAATTCTGTTCACCACGTTTATAACTGCACATCTCCTTTGGCCCAATATTGCTAAAGATCTCCGTCTCATTTGGCCCAATATTGACAAAGATCACTGGTACTGGTAGCTTGTTTATAAATGACGTGTTGAATGCCTTAAGAGTTCAGAATACTAACAGTAATTACCCTGTCAAATTAGTTGGAGCAGAACGGTAGGACGTCAAACCCCATTTCATTTCATTTCCATGTACTTATAATAACTGTACATGTATATATATGTATATATATATTTTAGATCATGTATTATTAGAAAGACCTGTTAGTAAAATAGAACAAAAAGAAAAAGATGTTATAGTATATGATCTTAATGGTAATACTTATACAGTAAGTACAAACTAGTTGTTGACAGTCTAGGTGGTGAGGGATTGAATGGTCCATCACATTGGTGTAAGTGTTGGGAGATTGACACCCATGTTTGTACATATTAAAGTATACCTTTTGTCAGTCCCAAATATTTGTTAAAGTAGGTAAGTTTCTAACTCAATATCACCTAAAGTTTTCGACATTGAAAACACAAATTATTTGTCAATTTAAATCAACATTGATGTTGTGATCTTACCGTGCGAATATGGGCTTCTAATATTCAATATTTACGACAAAATATATCATTGGTACACGAACGAAGCTAGACATATTTCACAAGTCATGTCAAACTGTGATGTCATATTCTTATCTGGAGAGCATGCGCAATAGATACTATTGCCATTCGATTGAGACTTCTGGCGTATTTCGCTGTCAAATATAACTCATTTGAAATGAGTAAAAACGGAAACGATTGATAGTAAATCAGTTTATATATATTCATATTACATTATTATATGCGTTGCGACCCATTTTTGTCAATTTCTAGGTCTCAAATACCGGTATTAGCGATTTACCTCCATTAAGTGGATGTTTACAATGAGTTAATTGTTTCTTGATGCCTCACCAGTCCTGAATATCCACATTCATATAGTCACTAGCCAGTCATAAAAAGGAAGTCGATCAATATTTCTCAGATTTACTGCCTGTCATTAAATCTCATGACCTAGTAAGCACTAACAGTAGTTCATATTTTTGTAGTATTATTTACAAACATTAATATTGTATTGCAATATTTAATATATTTCAGGGAAAATATGTAATTATAGCAGCTCCATTACCTTTACAAAATAAAATAGTTTATGAACCACCTTTACCAGGGTTACGTAATCAGTTAATACAGAGATTACCCATGGGTTCAGTTATAAAAACATTTATGTATTATAAAACACCCTTTTGGAGGGAAAAAGGTAAACTGCCTTCTTACGTTTAACAGTAATAATGTACTGTGATGTAATTTTATGTATTTTGACCGGTAGAAAGGTTATTCTGTAACTTACATTTCATTATCTCAATATTCTCATTAGCTGCAGAATTATTTTTGTGCTAGTACATTAAAATTTACATTTCACTTTCCTTGTTTTAACAAAATGAAGTGGGGAGGTATAAAAGGCAAAAAAACTTCGGTGGAAGCGGACATAAAATCAACTATTTAACAACCACAATAGGTTATAACGATTCGACACTTGGCCAAACTAAGGATCAAGCATTTAGCTGATCGGGTGATGGATGATTAGATTTCTAGGTTTATGTGAATCAATAACTGACATATTGTTTGTTTTTGTTTATTTCTAGGTTTATGTGGTTTAACCACTATAGTTGATGTATTGTCTGTTTTTGTTTATTTTTAGGCTTATGTGGTTCAGCAGCTATAGATGATGATGGTGCACCTATTGGTTTTACGTTAGATCATGTTCATCATGATGGTTCTCATCCAGCTCTCATGGGGTTTGTACCTTTTCTCATTACACAAGTAATTTAAAGCCATCAGTAGAAAAAAGATGTAACATTTGCTGTCACTTTAATCTATAAGGTACTTTAAAAGTCCTGATGGGCCATTTTAAGCAATAGGAATAACTTGCAAACTACAATATTCTGGAAGATGAATCTCTTATATGAATTATCAGTCCAATTCTGATCTAATCTGATTAAAATGCAAATCTATACAAATGGTCTACACTAAATGAAGATCTGACCAGTTGTAGTGGAAGGTCGCATCAGACATCGATTAATCAATCAGCTTTGACATTTCTAGTGGTTTACCCACAGTTCTGCGTATCACACACCAAGAACTCGGCGTAACAGACCGTTGCATTGGCTAATCGCTTACTTCAAACAAAACGTGGCTTATATAACAACTTTTCCAGATCCTAGTGTTGTGAAGACAAGTAAAACAAAATTTTGAACTATAAAAAACAAAACTAAATAGGATCTGTGTTTTAATAAATTGGGAAAATTTATATATTTCCAGGTTCATATTAGCTGATAAAGCTAGAAAATATATAGATATGACTAAAGAACAAAGAAAAATTAAAATTGCTCAGCTCTATGCTAAAGTCTTTGAATGTGAAGAAGGTTTACATGTAAGTCTTAATTCTTTAAAGTAAAGTGATGCAGGACGGAGGGGCTGACAAAGAAAGCTGTCTAGTCGTTTGGATCTGACGAAAAACTGAGGTCCCGTGTACACATTGGCGTGCATGTAAAAGATCCCTTGACAGTTGGAATTCGATATAAGAGTAGGCCATAGTGCCGCTGTCCGGGCAAAATTTCCCTCATAGCACACTGCATGGCGTATGCCCGTCTTCATTAGCCCAGTTCGGAGCAAAAAAGTAGGACGTTAAACCCCATTTCATTTCATTTCTAGATATACCAGTAAATATTTCTAGTTTATGAGAGAATTGATTTAAAATAGTCTACTTATATTGAGCTCTATCCTATCTTTAATAGAAGGCTTGATCACGCTTTAACTCAATATTTTAAATTGTCAGCCTTCAGGGGACTATTGATCATTTGTGCAGTCATTGTTCTAAGGGTTTTTCGTATATCAGTGTAATCACTCGCATCAACATCCACATATCAATTATTTTGGTCATAACACAAATCAAATCTCATCTTCGTGGGATGTTGTCATTATCAAAACCTCATCAAATCGTTGTAAATACTCCACAACAATCTATCCTTTTACCATTTGTATTTATTTCAGTGAAAGGGGTCGTTGATAACATTTCATCAATTTGCATTTTCTTGCAACGTTTGTATTATTAAAACCCACTAATCATTGTGTATACTCCACAACAACTTATCCATTAATCAATTAGTCAATTTTTTTAGGTTAATTGGTATTATTACTTATTAGCGTACAATTAAATCAGATTACCATTAGGTACACGTAATTAAGTTACATCCCTGGTTTGTCATCATTAACTTAGCATTGTGGTGTACATGTATATATTGTCCTGTCATATTTTCATTTTTTATCATAGCTTGATAATGACTAGAGAAGCCTAGTCGAAACGTCGCTCAGTAAAAAGCAGTAATTGTATTCCATAGAATTGTGACCTGTATATTGCAAGTGCAGATCTGGAGGCGAGGTGATTCTTTGCATCAATGAAATTGAATCACAATGTAATCCTATTAATTCATAATAAAAATTGACCTCAAATGGGGTGTTGGATTTCTCTCTTTAAAAAGCTCAGTGTGTATGTATGCCAACGTAATTTGGAGAGGATGAATGAAGGCATTATACATTGTCAACTGTTAAATTTCCTTAACAGGAACCTGGCAAATCTGCAAAAATTCCTGGATCACCGCTAGTCTGTAGGCTAAAAAATAACTTATTTCATAGCCTACAGACTATCGCGGTGAAAACGTTAGCATGAAAATGTATTTTTATTTTGCCATCTTTAATTGGCTATAAAACTTAACCTTCCATTAATTTACATAGTCTATGTGTATTTAAAACATAGATATGACGTCACCCTTTGATGTTTTTAACCAGTATATAGGAGAATGTACGCTTTTCTTAAACAATCGTCTATTATTTATAAAACTGTCCATTATTTATTAAGAATAATTGGCAGGTTTACCAATAATAGACACTTATCTGAAAAATGAACATGTATTTTGGGATAATTTATTCTCTGAACAAATTAAATTACAGTACATGAAATTACTATAAAACAGCATAGTTACCGAAATGTCACATGACCGAATGTTGATTTCACGTGTTTGTCTACATAAAGAATCCCACTTAAATCCGTCGGTTATATGTCACGTGTCCGTTTAATAGTACGTTCGGCAATAGATTGATGATATGTTTTTATACGCCCACATTTTCACACCTTCTTTGTGGACACTCTACAGGTCATAACTTGAAATATTGGTATATATCCCAAAGATCTCGGTTCCTTTCGATATTGGCTTGTATGGGACCATAACTTCATGGATTATGGCCCCTGATTGTACACACTATAGGTCACAATTTTTAGTCCATTTTGATGAAACTGAACGTGTGTTTATAACCCAAAGATCTCGATTCCTTGCGATATTGGCGCATATCGGACATAACTTCCTGGATTATGGCCCCTGATTGAACAAAAAAATGTGTTTTGAGCCTGTGAAACCTATACAGGTCACAATTTTTATCCGATTTTAAAAACCACTTATATCAGAGTATATATTAAATTTAAAATCAAAATTTGGACGGCTAGTACCCTCCATATTAACCACAATAATAAGAATGTTATCAATGTTTAAATCATTTTCGTGAGCAGCCTTCCATCACAACTTTGACGGCTATTATCCCCCATATGAAGAACATCACAATTTTTATGGCTATTATCTTCCATATCGAGTTCATTACCAAATGTAATCAGTATCCAAATTCTTATCACATATATTCTCATTAGTAATATTTGTTTTCGACTGTGTTATAAACATGTCGTCTCCATGTCGAATATTTTGGACTGTCTGTGTATGCTTGCATTGTATGACTGGAGTGTTTTGTCACATGCATTCATGTGCAGATGCATGTTGTTTTAAGAATATATCCATTATTTTGTTGCTTGTTCTTTTAGAAAACTACCCATTATTTGTATCTCTATGGTGCTATGTTTTAGGTTTGATAATAGCCTCAGACTGGCCATTATGTGAATACAAAGAAAAACTTCGGGGCTAACGCCCCTCAGTTGTTCTTTCTATTTACATAATGGACAGTCTGAGGCCATTATCCATCACGTAATCTCTTCATTATAAATGACGGACAATTTTTACTTTTTTCCCCAATCAGATTGAATCAATTTTTCACATGAAACATGATTATTTTATGCATGTTTTAAATCAAATAGTTCCAAACATTTTCTCTTTGGCAAGTTGTTGTTATGATTATGTATGTTTTGTTTCAGCCAGTACATTATGAAGAAAAGAATTGGATGGAAGAACAATGGTCAGGCGGTTGCTACACAGCCATGATGCCACCAGGTTTTATCACTAATTTTGGAAAGTATGTTGATTCTGACCCAACTATAATCTGGTTAAGTGTTGGCGTATAAATTTATTATAATTAACTTTCTGGTCAAGTCAAGTTTTACTCAGTTGGTCCTTGGGAGATAAAGAATCAAAATTTTTTCTGACTTGCATGGAGATAAACCGTGTTTGTTTATTTGACTAGATGATAAACTCTTGTAAAGTTTGCCATGGAGATAAACCCTTTTAGTTTGTCTGACTGTCCAATTTCTCTGCTGATTTCAATAAACCTGGATAGTCTACAGGGGCAGATCCAGAGGAGGATTTGAGGGGTACATAAAAAAACCCTTGTAAAACAACACTCGAATTTGAGTATGACCGAGTGAAATTTTTCCGGTTAATGTATGATATTCGATTGTTCTTTATCTTGGGCGCCTTAATTTGGATATGACAGCCACCGATAGCTCTGATTGTTCCGGGAGATTTACAATATTCAGCAAAACGACAGAAACTTCTCGCCGTCCATCGGGTAATGGCCATTGAATAGTTGTTTTCATTTGAAACTCTGTGGCATATACAGTGCGTTGTTCATTTAGATATTCCAAATCTATCAGATGGTGAGTGAAATGCCACAGAAACACCATTGCTTGTTTTGGAATTGTAACTGGTTTGTGTTCATAGCTTTGCCCTCCTGACTGCAATTCTGGTAAGCCATGGAGCTCGTTAACAAAGTTATCAAACGTTACATTGGTTAAACGAAAGTGTGATTTAAAGTCTTCTACTGATTGTAGAGTCGGACTATGTTCTGCATAATATTCTTTTGCTTCTCCGGATTTAATAGTTCCAAAAAGATGCCAATGAAAAAGTCAGTATCAATTGTTTGACGGCGTTTATCTTCCATTTTGATACCCAAAGAAAGCGCTGCCCCGTTCGATTACCCATCCCCACTGCGCATGTTGAAACGTACTTAAGGATACTGGTGGAGTAATCCCGGACCAAGGGCTTGAACACATGGTTTGTGTTAAAGGGAGATAAGCCTGCCAAGTCTCTTTTTCTCCCAAATTGGCATTAAACCCAGTTATTATGACTGGTTGATAAACCCATTTGGTTTGTCTCTGACTTTAAGAAAGATCCAGGTAATTTATCTGACTGGAAACCAACTAGTTGAGTCAATTGTTTGGTATTAAATGTAGACTATATTTTAAATTGTTTATGAACAGGGAAATACGACGTCCAATAGGTAAATTATATTTTGCCGGAACAGAAACAGCTACTCAATGGTCAGGTTATATGGAAGGTGCTATACAAGCTGGAGAGAGAGCAGCAAGAGAGGTTTGTATAATGGTTTGGTTTTAGGTCTCCTGTTTTGTCATATTTACCCGATAAGCCATTGTGAGTAAATGTGCAATAAAACATTTTGAGAATCATTTAATAGTAAACTGCATACAGCAAAACTAAAATGACATTATTCCAAAGGAATGTATATTGTTATCTACTACTCTAGCTATAATTGTATTCAATATTTTGTTTTTTCTCTACCTTTAGATACTACATACATTAGGAAGGTTACCGTATGATCAGATAAATCAAGATGAACCTCAAGATGTGGTAATTTCATACTTTACTTGTTTATTGAATATTGATTTTGCTGTTGGGCATTTTCATTTAGATGGTCATGTTTATTTTAAAATGGTGTTTGTTATGTAAAACTGCATACCATTTGCTTCATGTAAATCACAATTTGTATGAAATCTTTTCTTATACTTCTAAAGGAAATAACTAATATAGTGCAATAATTGCTGTCATTAGAGAGGCAATAATAATCAATATGATTAATCATGGTTTCATGTATTATGAAACTTCCACACAGGTATTTTATTTTCATTACTGAAAACCTGGATTTATGAAATCAAAGAGAATGTCTTTTTCTTATTTACAGGAAGTGAAACCCAGACCATTCAATCGTTCATTTTGGGAAAAGAATGCACCATCAGTCCCTGGCTTCCTGCGTCTGATGACGTTTGGGACTGTGTTGTCCATAGCAGGAGCTGGTGCTGTTTATTATCATAAATATATCAAATAATTATTTTTAATAATAATTAAAAATAATCAATTAATTAATTATTTTTAATCATTAAAATGAATTAAACAGATGTGACCTGTGGTATTCTTACCATGGTTAATATTTAGACCATCTAAAAGAATTGTATGTTTCTTAAACAGTAGGACGTTAAACCCCATTTGATTGATTCTTGGACCCCACCTATTAATGCCATTGTGTGTTCCATTTTATCAACAATTTTAATGTTTAATTGGGCCTTATACATACCTAAAGTGCGTACTGAGGACATTTATTGAATTTTATTGTTTAAATTCAAAGCTAACCAAAAATGTACCAGTAATAAAAAAGAAAATCAGGCTTGGACAATTTAAAAACAGAAAAAAGGTTCTTACCTGCCTTGCCTATTTTTCAAAATTGTCTGAGAAACATGTCACTTTTTTTTAGATGGCCTTACATATCCCTGTTTTTCTTAATTCATACTGGCATTATTAATTATGTACTTATGTTCAAAGATCGAAGTGTTTGTATTTACTTCCCCTAAAAATCTAAAAAATGGGGATGTATGATTATTAAAGTATAATAATAAAAATGTAATAATGGTATCTAGTGTAATAGAACGAGTAAGATATCAGGTGTTCTGCATTGATCTAAGTTGTTAAATTTTCTTTTAATGTAATGATTATGAGAGTTGAAAGTATTATTATTTTTTTATGAATAGTTGTTATAACTGATCTCTTGAATGTTTCTCTGTTGTAAGTTTCTTTTACAGTATATGATTATGCGATTATTATGATTAACATAGTAAAATATGATTATGAGATTATTAACTGTATACAAACGGTTACAGGTTTGAAACATGACGTTTTACCCCACCTCCAAGTCTTATTGACTGGAATTTAATTATCAGTGCTCTAATGACCATTTTCTGACTGGCCACCAAATGAGGTACAAAATGCAAATATATGATAACTAGCTAGACCTTGTTATGGAAATAAATTTGTGTTAAGAAATATAGGATCATTAGTATTTTGTTTAATAATAAATGTACACACCAATCTGTATAATATTTCATCAGATCATAATAATAATTGTATTATAATAAGTGTAGTCTTTGTAACAAACATCTATATTTCTAATATTTTATATGAATTCTTATTTTTGATGGTGTTGTTTAAAATAGTGAGATGTACTGTGTATGAAGGGGTGGTGTGCTAAGGTTTTTTTTTAATTATTATTGCAACTTTTTTTTATACGCCTACATTTAATGTGGACGTATATTGTCATTTCCGTCTGTCCATCCACAATTTGTTTGTGGACACGTACTCTACAGGTAACAATTCTTATCCGATTTTGACGAAACTTGAAATATAGGTTTATCTCCAAAAGATCTTGGTTCCTTTCGATATTGGCATATATCGGATAGAAACTTCATGGATTATGGCCCCTGATTGTACAAAAAATCACGTTTTTAGCTTGTGGACTCTAGAGGTCATAATGTTCATCTGATTTTGATGAAAATTGAAATGCATGTTTATAACCCATAGATCTTGGTTGCTTTCGATATTCGTGCATATCGGAACATAACTTCCTGAATTATGGCCCCTGATTGTACGAAAAATCGTTTTATTAGCTTGTGGTCCCTCTAGAGATCACAATTATTATCCGATTTAAAAAACGTAGGAATATATCACCTTAACACTGTAAAGTTGGTTGAGTTTGAATTTCGTGAAAGTGGGACCAAAACTGCTGGACAAAATGGCCACTCCTCGTACGCAAACAGTGTAAAAATATGGTATGTCAAGGTTGTGGACACTCTAGAGGTCACAATTGTGATCCGATTTTGATGAAACTTGAAATGCATGTTTATAACCCAAAGATCTCGGTTCATTTCGATATTCGTGCATATCGGACCATATCTTCCTGAATTATGGCCCCTGATTGTACAAAAAATCACATTAATTTTTTAAGCTTTTTCTCTGTCCATCTCTTGCAAAATGTGGGCTTATCTTGCATGGCAACCGCTTGTTTTCTTTTAAAATTTTGCACCTGCTAAGAATTTTTGGCTCGCCTGGTAGGCACCCACCCCAACACACTACAACACTGACTATGGTTAATAGTATGATTTAAATAACGTTGTCACCATTTGATTTTATACTGGAGCAGGTTTTTTTTATTATTGTACAATCTAAGGATATTGTTTTCTAAGATATGTTTATTATTGTGGATTTACATCATTTGTCATGTAGATAATCTATGATTAGATTTGTTAGATTTAATATAATTGTTATAATAATATTGTTTGATCAGAATACTTTGTCTTTTTTTTCAAGCATGTTTCCTTCCTGTACTTTGGTCCTTTCCATACCATCGCCACAACTTCATTCCGTGATGACCATTATTTATGAGTAGTATTCCATAATTATTGATTAAAAAATAGAAAATAACCATGCTTTCATAATGTATCTGGAACTAGGGACCTGCGGTGGTTCAGTGAGTAAGACGTTGACTCGCTAACCAGGAGATCCCGTGTTCAATTTCAGTGTTGGCCAAGAATGTTCATCAGGATTTTCTGCCGTGGTTCCCCCGTGTGAGAGGGCCTGGCAAGGGACACTGCATAGTTGGTTGGAAGGGAAAAAAACCAAGGTCCCGTGTACACATTGGCGTGAACGTAAAAGAACCCTTAACAGTTAGAATTCGAAATAACAGTAGGCTATAACCTGATGTCCGGGCAAAATATCCCCTATAGCACGAGTGCATGGCGTATATACCTGTCTTCATTAGCTCAGTCGGTGCAGAAAAGTATGACATAAAACTTCATTTCATTTCTATGGTACTGCAAGGTTGACAGATTTAGGGGTCAACCGGTTAGTTGGACACCTTTCAGGAATACTTTACTGAAACCACATGTACAATAATGATTGACCGATATTTCTCAGTTTAAAAAGATTATGTTAAGCAAATAATTTAAGTCTATATTAACCCCACCCCATATGCACTGAATTAAACTGGTCTGTAGCACCGAATATACCACCTTGATTATTATTCCCATTGATTACAGAAGTCCATTGCCTCCTACCTTGAAAAATTAACCTTTGGTTACATAAATATTTTCTGAATAATTATAATGAATGAGCACTTGATAAGTGCATTAATAAACCGGATCACACCTGCACCGTCGGCGCAGTGAACGTCGGATCATTGAGCAGACCCCAAATGTGGTGTAACTTGAAGGGACAGTCCCGAATTTCCCTGTAGACCGTAAATGAAAGTGGGGTTACGTATACAAATAAAACGCCAGATTGCCAAAGTTTCTGATTGAGCCTTTCAAATTTGATTGCTAAATTCAAAAGCCATTTAAGGTATTCATTCTGTTCTGTCTGGACAATCGGTAAGATTATAGAAATGCTTATCCAGATACATACATAGCGTGGAATTAGGGACTTTTGGCCACTCTCTCTTGGAAATTGAGTTTTGATTTCATTGAAACATTATCACAAGTTTCTGATAGCTGTACAAAATCAGGATAAATGTTTCTTATTCTTCCTCAATTGGATTCGGAAATAATGGATGCGGCATTGATTGATATCCATTTGTGGGAACAGGCCACTACATGGATATCAAATTATTTTTTTCGTTGACCGATGTAGGGGTCTTCGCCCTAGTTTTCATCTCCTTTATCGTTTTCTGACTATCTTCGGTCTTTTTTTAATCGTCGCGTCTATATATATAATTTGTTGATTCCCGAATACGACCTTGGTTTTTTGGGGGATCAAAGTATATATTACTGAGATATCGATTCATCATTTAACATTTGTGGAGTCGTTATCTCACAATGATTAATTGTGTTTCAATGTCCTTTATCGAGAATGGGAATGGGTAAAAAATTATAACGCATAAATGAAATCGTACTAATTTTTGCATTCCCCACTCTTGATGGATAAATGATGTCGTCGGAAGCGTCCGTTCACATTTCTAAAGATCTCAGATAGGTTCGATTGTGGCACACATTTTTTATTCGATTTTTATAAAACTTAAAATATATGTTTGTTATACCCCCTAGGTATAACTTCTTGGATTATTTCCCCTGCCTTTGACGCATCACCAGATCTCGGATGGGTTGGATTTTGGTGCGCTTCTGTCCGTAACTTCATGGGTTATGACCCCTGCCTTTTACTCAGAATGTGTAACAAAGTTTGGGGCCCCCTTGAGACAAAGCATACCAAGGTTGTGGAACCTCTAGATAAATATATCGGTATATTAAGGATTAATTGGATTTCCGTTAAAACTGGCCCTCGCCTTTACGCATGATGGCAACCGTTTTTGAAGTGTATCAAACATTTTGCCTGCAAACTAAAAAAAAGTATAAAACTATATTATTTATTTTTTAATTTTCTTCTACGTTTGTAATACACAGTTTGGCATGATAATATTGTGTTCCAAAAACAGTTCTGGCTGTAATTTAACACAAGTAACAAATCCTTGGTTTCAATAGCAGTAGTTGTGAGTCGCCCAAACGCTCTCAAATTGACTAATAATGTAGTTGTTATGGAAACTTCACCGGCACCCTTGTGTTTGTAATTGGTGTATATTTGAACAATCTGAAACAAGACGTCAACGTTTAAAAGCAGTCTTTAAAAAAACTGAAACAGATCATAATTATAAGGGGGGCAATTGTAGACCAAGCTATTGCAATCTAGGTCCGGACTATTAAGGATTCCTCTCAATAATGGAATTGCTTTTGTTAATAGTCCTCCCACCCTTTCACCCCCGTTTGATGACGAAATGTTTGAGTTCACATTCATTGCCAGGATAGGGTGAATATTTACTAGTGTGCTATTTGTATGTTGTGTATCTCAATGCGGAATCCCATTTGGGTTGCTTCAATCCAACGACAGTTTTGAACACGCTAGAGCCGGTCAAAGAGAGGTGTATTAACATAAAAGGACTATGTCTATCATTTCTGTCTCCAAATCTGCGGCGCAAAATATTGGCCAGTAAAGATTTTCTTTAATAAAAAGTGTCTTTGTATACCAGAACAAAACAATATATATTCTTACCTTACTGACAGTAACTATTGGTAGATTTAAGGCTTTCATAAAGATAATACCTTGTGGTGGTACCAATGGTAGTAATAAAATCAACATAAAAGGAACATATAAAAACAGAAAACCCAGCATAAATGTTGGTCGTTTATTATACAACAATAACAAACAACTTAATATCAAATACTGGGCCATTAACAATATACTTTCACCCCATGTACTGAAATTAAAAAAAAAGACATGAAAAGATCTTTCGGGAAAAGTATGGGCTATTGAAAGGGTGTTTCCGTTTGTCTGTTACAAATTTTGGTGAATGTCTTGACTGAGGTCGATGATGATCATTTTCTCCTGAGGTCAAGTAGAGATATGCACTTTGTTTTGTGTAGAATGATATTTCTATTGATGAGCTATCACAATTCACACTATTTTTTAAAAATATTATTAGTCTACCTCAATCAAATCAATGGACATGTTCATAATAATCCGGCTCAGAATATACAATCAGCCTCACTTAAAGACAATTACAACGGCTTGTTTAAACCAAATTTATTTGCATGCCCGGATGTCTGAAAACTTAATCAAACCTAACCAGATTTTTGGTCGATATTTTACTTTGTGAATATTACATAAACTCTGACGAAAAAGTATGACAAAATGACAGCATCTGTTATACCGACGTTGCATTTGTGATAAAGAGATTTAGTCCAAAGATATGTTACGGAAGATTACGAGCGTATTAGCGAATTATAATTTTAGAATACACCCCAGTTGAGATCTGGCGTAATTGATATGCCAGCATCAATAATACATGTAGTTTATTTTGCAGAATTCTGTTTCGTTTCTTTTTATGGTTTTATAATAGTTCAGATATATTTTAACATAACTATCTGGCAATCCATTGTTTTACAATATTTCAAATATAGTGTGTTTAACATAAATATCTGGTAATTCATTGTATCACTTACCTGAGTGGAAAATGTTTTTGTAGATTATAGGCTACACTGGTAGATGATGCTTGTAACATCAATATAACACTTAATGTACTAATACCCTCCCCACTCCTCTTACTTAAAACACGTAATATTTGGGGCCATTGTACTGAAAAATGAAGAAATACCATAAATATAATAAAACTAATTTATTGAATTCATTTCATATTTGAAATTCAAATGTTAAAGTCATATTAATGTCCAACAACGCAAGATGTCAAGCATCTTTTTTTTGGCATTTCTTGTATTCCATTTCGCACAAGCTTTACTGGATCGAACTATGTTAGATTACCATTTCTGTCTAACAAAGCATTCTTCTTTCCTATAATGCAGGGCCTTCTTAAAGGGTGTATGGCTCGACAAAAATGGCTCTAAAAACACATATTAATGTAATATGAATGAATGAAAAGTGATTTATATTCAATTTTTGAAAAAAATATTGTAATTTCTAACCAATCATGTTCGGTGAAATAATAATATGTGAACAGTTCAAATTGTACGGCAGTCGTTTACGTCTGGTTATATAGTGCATTCTGCACGTTTTTTAAAATTATTATTTTGTCGTTTGTTAATAAGCCTTTACTAATTACTTCCACAATGTGTTGTAGAATATGTTTTTATTTGTTCATTACAAAATGGCATCCGAAACCATATGGTACACGACTCGTGTATTGATTATTACATGGCAATGGTGTCTTAAATATTGACTATTAGGATCCCATATTTTCATGGCAAGATAACAACATCAATATTGATTGAAATTGATCAATATTGAATTCTAATTCGTGTTTTTAATTGTCCCATGAGCATAATACGTTATATTGTTCCAAGATTTGTGTAGATTACTCTTTGCTCTACATACGTTTTTTTGTAATATTTAATTATATCAACCATTTATATTTTTTCCCCTGTGAGTGTTTGCTTTGCCCGGGGGCTCTAATGCTGTTAAGACGACCCTGTCATAAAGGGGTGAATAACGGGGACCCAGAGAAAACTCACGAGGTTGGGCAGGCGATCCTACTCCTTGTCGCGTACAACCGTGGAATCGAAACCATGCCAGTTGACTCAATGACCTTATGATACAGCGCGCACGTGCTAACCATGGTGTGTATAAAAAACAATAGGCGATAAAGGGGTCTTTTCCAGAAGCCGTATATATTTCAAACTATGAATAATCTATTTGTCAGGCCAAAAGAGTTGTAACCAATATCTTATGTGCACTGAATTATTTATGAATATAAAATGGAAGAATTTCCTATTCACGCTAAACTACAATATAATATTATTTCAATTCAAGGAACATTGACCCTTCGAAGAACCTCGCATGTTGTTGGTAAAAGAGAAAGAAAATGATTTGACATGGAATTTTACAATATAGTTTCACTGTTCAGATTAGATAATTTCTATGCAAATTTGAAATAAGTCTGTCAATCTATCACAGAGATACATACTCTTTAACTTTCAACTTACTAACGTGTGAATCTTTCAGTAGTTTTCAAGAAATTGAATCAACGGCCGTTGGCCTGTTTTTAGATTTGAATGGGATATTACTAAAAAAAAAATGATAATGGTGATAACATTTCTTTAAAAACAATCTGACTGGAGTAGTAGAATAGTTACCAATGCCGTACTCGAGAAAATTCATATTTTTCAAAATTGATAATAAATATATATTTACTTACTTGTCGCCACTAGCACAATCAAAGCATAGCCCAGTATTTTACTAAATAGTTTTAACAAACACTCGTCTGTAAGCAGAAAAATACCATACGTTGATAGCAGGCTACAGGAATGGTACATAATAACCATAGGAATAATTCCTGGTATAAGACCAATAACATGCAACAACATTATCTGTAATAATATTATGTAAACACATCATTCCCAGCTCGCTAGTTCAAATCAAATCAGAAGGAATTGAGACGGTTCTCTTCGCTCTAAAGAAATAAAACTGCCCATACTATGTTATCCACGCGCTTTAAAAAGATAAATAAATAGCATCTCAATTTCTATTGTTATTACAAAACCGTTCAATCCTGTACATTTTGTTGGTATTTTAAAACTATAAACACAAACAAAAATAATTTCCTTAAAATTAATGTAAGGTACATGAACTTTTACAATCTTTGCAAGAATTTAAGCATTTTGTTTTCGCATTTGTGAGGTAAATAAAATGAGCGAAAGATTTAATATCGGGCAAAAGTTTGGAGTAAGAAGAGCGTCCGGAACTCACTTTTGCTTTCACACACCTCTACTGTATGTAACACAATACTTACAGACCTCTTTATCGTTCTGTATCAAACATTAAATTACTTATTTATCAACTATGAATGGATATTGGCCATAATATAAGATAATGTAATACTTGACATTGTCTGTAGATATACTCAATATCGTCTAGTTCAGTACATATCACTGAATCCTAAACAAATATTGTGATTGCTCTATATGATCAACTATCTTGTTTTGAAAGATATGATTTTTAGTTTGCTGGCATACCAATGATAAGATAATTCAAGATCACGTCCTCCAATCACCGTACAATGTGTATACGTAATAATAACTATAAAAGGTTTCGAGTTAAACGTCCCCTAAGATACAAGAACACAAGAAGTAAACATTTTTTTGCAAGATTTCTAATCTAATACTTCTGGTGAGAGGATAACATTAGGAAAACTTTGCAAGATTTGTGGGAAGGTCAAATACAAAGGATAGGGTCAAATATAATACAGTATTGCACAAAAGGGAGATAATTTCAACTAATTACGTGGATAAAATTACAACTATCGACGATTCAAATAAGAAATTTGAATATGGCTTCCACTACTATTCACAAGCTTTTCCGTGCACATAATATAGCCCTGGAACAGAAAGTCCCCTTAATGCTGAAAATGAGTATGGCTCTTTCTTCGGATGAAAATCTATAGTCTTCATCCTCACAGTCATAGGCGTACTAGCAGCTGCTCCCCACAACCCCACTCCAAACATAGCAGAAAATGCTAATTATCGAGCTTAGTCAGGGTATTGATGTAATGAAACTATACCAAATTTCATCACTCTCATTTAATTAGAACTAAAGTTATCGTGTCCCAAAGCATTAACCAATCAAATTTTCTTATCTCAGCTTACCGTAAGCAGAAAATGTTCATCTTCGAACCCCATGAAGGCATTAACCCAATAAACACTTTGATCACGTTTGAGCATTCCAGCTCAATTCGAAGAAGAGTTACTGTGTCCCAAAACAAAAAGTGTGACGGACAGACAGACAGACGTACAAACCAATTTTAATAGTCCCCTTCTTTTTTCGAAATGCGGGGGACAATAAGTACATGATGACGTGTATCATACATATTTACTTATTGTCTGCTCGATTTAGATAAACTTATCTCTTTGATGTGATGTTACAGCATGTAGACATCACGCCATATTTGACAACTGAATTAAAGTGTCTTAATCGGTAGAAACCAGTGTTAACCAATCATCTGCATATCTAACTACGAGAACCTAGCTAAAAACGTCGGGACATCCTGATGTGTTTGTTTGGGTGACTTTAGACTTAATTTTTTTATTAATGCATATATCATCTTAAAAATAAGATAATTATATACTATCTGACCCAGTGTAGTAACACAACTTTGGCTTATCTACAAATATTATTCAAGTTAATCAAGCTGTGTTTTTGACCGACTTGGTACCGCCACACTCGGCAAACCTCAGCAGATTCCAGTACCTTACAAGTAGAGTAACGGAATCTGCTGAGATTTGCCGAGTGGGTACCGCCATTCACAATAATTATGGTGCATTACTCATGTGCAACCCCAACAAGTTCTTTACTTGCGCATTTTAGGCCTAATTGGCTGCTGTGCATGACAAATACTTAGTCCCGCCTACATGTCGTTAAGACGTCAAACTTTTAATAAAGAGTTGAAAATTTAAGTCAAATTACTCTATTCTGATCGGAATTGTCACTGTTGGAAGTTTGGACTAGAAATAGGCAGTCTACAAGAATTGCCGATTGTTTGAACCACCTACATATTCTCGATTATCAAGTACACATTCTCAATGGCTATGATACCCTCGTTTAGTAGGCCTTTCATCGACTGTCTCTGGTAGTGGTCGGTCATTTAAATCCAAGCTGTATACTGTATCCAAGCCATATGAGGGTCACGGGGTTGATTTTGAGCTTGTAGTGTAAATAAAGGTCTAATAATTTCTATAATATCTGAAGCCTAAATAAAGACATGCAATAGGCAGATTTAGTTCTTGCATAATGAAATTTGAATATGGCTTCCACTACTATTCACAAGCTTTTCCGTGCACATAATATAGCCCTGGAACAGAAAGTCCCCTTAATGCTGAAAATGAGTATGGCTCTTTCTTCGAATGAAAATCTATAGTCTTCATCCTCACAGTCATAGGCGTACTAGCAGCTGCTCCCCACAACCCCACTCCAAACATACGGACAGTCAGATTTTCGGGCAGAATTTTTTATTATTATTATTAAAATAATAATCAATGTAAAGTAGTCACTCTGCTTTAACCGCGATATTTTTTCTGGCATCAAGTTGCTGTATTTACGGACTGAAATAGCAGGAAAAGCGGTCGTCTAATTTTCATAAATTATTTTTCAAAACATAATGATCCCAATTTATCCACAAATATCAGGTAATATATCACCTGTGATTGATCATTTGTATATTAAAAAGCCAACAGTGCGGCTGATGTCCCCCGCCGAAATCCCAAAACAAATAGATGACACATTTATCTTTTTCAAAAAACTGAGTATCTATACTTAGATTAAGCATAAAATGTTCACGACCAAACTAAGTCAGGGTTTTGAAGTACCCGGCAGTGAAACTATACACTAAGTTTCATCACCCTCCATCAATTAGAATCAAAGTTATCTTGTTCCAAAGAATCGACCAATGAAATCGCTTAGCTCAGCTTAGCAGGAAATTTCAAGACATTCACCTAATGAACATATACATCAAGTTTAAACATTGTTGTTATGTTCCAATCAATCGAATTGCTTATCACTACTTAGCCTAATAAAATCTTTTTCATCGTCATCGTCAAGGTATTGATATAAAGAATCTATACTCGAAATTTCATCGCTCTCACCCAAAGTTATCTTGTTCTAATCAAGTCATTCACCTAATAGACACCAACACTTAGTTTGAACATTCTACCTCAATTAGAAGGAGAGTTATTGTGTTCCAAAGTCTCGACCTATCAGACCGATGTCTCTACTTTGTCTAAGCAGAAAATGCTCGGCATCGAACATTTTTAAGGTACTGATGTAATGAAACTATACATGAAGTTTTACCAATCAAATTGCTTTTTGCTCTGCATACCAGAGCAGAAAATGCTCAATATCGAACTTAGTCAACGTATCGATGTGATACTCGCATTTAATTAGCACCAAAGATACTATGCCCCAAAGCATCAACCATTCAAATTGCTTATCCCGGCTTACCCCAAGCAGAAAATGCTCATCTTCGAACTTCATCAATGCATTCACCTAATAAACACCTACACCAAGTTTGAGCGTTTTACCCCAACTGAAAGAAGAGTTATTGTGTTCCAAAGCCTAGGCCATTCAAATTGCTTATCGCTCTGCTTACCCTGAGCAGAAAATGCTAATTATCGAGCTTAGTCAGGGTATTGATGTAATGAAACTATACCAAATTTCATCACTCTCATTTAATTAGAACTAAAGTTATCGTGTCCCAAAGCATTAACCAATCAAATTTTCTTATCTCAGCTTACCGAAAGCAGAAAATGTTCATCTTCGAACCCCATGAAGGCATTAACCCAATAAACACTTTGATCACGTTTGAGCATTCCAGCTCAATTCGAAGAAGAGTTACTGTGTCCCAAAACAAAAAAGTGTGACGGACAGACAGACAGACGTACAAACCAATTTTAATAGTCCCCTTCTTTTTTCGAAATGCGGGGGACAATAAGTACATGATGACGTGTATCATACATATTTACTTATTGTCTGCTCGATTTAGATAAACTTATCTCTTTGATGTGATGTTACAGCATGTAGACATCACGCCATATTTGACAACTGAATTAAAGTGTCTTAATCGGTAGAAACCAGTGTTAACCAATCATATGCATATCTAACTACGAGAACCTAGCTAAAAACGTCGGGACATCCTGATGTGTTTGTTTGGGTGACTTTAGACTTAATTTTTTTATTAATGCATATATCATCTTAAAAATAAGATAATTATATACTATCTGACCCAGTGTAGTAACACAACTTTGGCTTATCTACAAATATTATTAAAGTTAATCAAGCTGTGTTTTTGACCGAGTTGGTACCGCCACACTCGGCAAACCTCAGCAGATTCCAGTACCTTACAAGTAGAGTAACGGAATCTGCTGAGATTTGCCGAGTGGGTACCGCCATTCACAATAATTATGGTGCATTACTCATGTGCAACCCCAACAAGTTCTTTACTTGCGCATTTTAGGCCTAATTGGCTGCTGTGCATGACAAATACTTAGTCCCGCCTACATGTCGTTAAGACGTCAAACTTTTAATAAAGAGTTGAAAATTTAAGTCAAATTACTCTATTCTGATCGGAATTGTCACTGTTGGAAGTTTGGACTAGAAATAGGCAGTCTACAAGAATTGCCGATTGTTTGAACCACCTACATATTCTCGATTATCAAGTACACATTCTCAATGGCTATGATACCCTCGTTTAGTAGGCCTTTCATCGACTGTCTCTGGTAGTGGTCGGTCATTTAAATCCAAGCTGTATACTGTATCCAAGCCATATGAGGGTCACGGGGTTGATTTTGAGCTTGTAGTGTAAATAAAGGTCTAATAATTTCTATAATATTTGAAGCCTAAATAAAGACATGCAATAGGCAGATTTAGTTCTTGCATAATGTAGCCTATGTTTAACCTGGTTGAAACGCTTCGATTTAAAAGGGATGATTTGTAGGCCATACTTGTATGAGGTATGATAATATGTTTAATATGTTGGGTGTGGCAGAAATGTAATAAATAACAATAATCAATTGTCTTTTGAAGAAAAAGGGGACCATATTGCTTACTGAATTGAGACGTGATTCGCATCGGCATCTTCCAGAAAGAACTATATAGTACCATCTCTTATTTCGAAACAGACGTCCAAGGGTCGCGAGATGACATTTCTTATCTAATGCGTATCCGCCACTGCATGATTGATTTCGTGTAATCCGGAGGAACCATCAACTACCACGGCAGGTTTGCGCCCTTATACTCTATAGCTATTTTCGTTGTACCATTGAAATCTATACAACGCATATCAGGGGCGGATCCAAAAGGGCTGGTGTCAAATTGAAAACAACACCCGCATCAATGAAATTGAATCACAATTTGATCGTATTAGTTTATAATAAAAATTAACGTCAAACGGGGTGTTGGATTTCTCTCTTTAAAAGGCTCGGTGTGTATGCATGCCACAGGAATTTGGAGACGATGATGACATCATGCATTGTCAACTGTCAAATTTCCTTAACAGGAACCTGGCAAACCCCCTCCTGCAAAATGGGCACAAAACCAAACCCAACTTTTCTATAGTAAAATTGTGCGTAGAATACGTTGCCGTTTGAGGCGTTTGCGAGATATTCGGGGTCAAAGGTCAAGTGAGGTCATTTGCACTGAAAGTGAATGCGCAGCCATTCTTGTATTATGAAAACATGCTGAAAATGATCGAAAGTAATCACCCTTTCAATACAAATGTAAACTTGCTAAATTCACATTTGTTCCTTGTGACCCCGGAGGTCAAAAGGTCAAATTTTCAGTTTTTGTACTAGGAAGATTAAAGGCAATAAATGTCAGCGTAAAATATAAAAATGAAAGCGAAACCTGTTCTAATTAATAAATTTATCTTTATGTGGTCTTAGAACCGAACTTTTACTTTGGAACGTCGAAAAAGATCTTGTATATATAACAGAAACCAAACACTTCGAAACCCGTTTCAAAAATACGTAAAAACTGTCAAATAAAAGATCTTGTATATATAACAGAAACCAAACACTTCGAAACCCGTTTCAAAAATACGTAAAAACTGTCAAATAAAAATCTCTCCGATTTAGATTCACAACGATTGCTATGCATAAAGTTTCACGGGATCTCCCAGCGAGATTTCCAATTGTTAGTGGATGCAATGCAGAGGGCGTGGCAAGGACAGTCTCTTGTTGTTCGGATGGGACGGAAAACCCGAGATCCCGTGTACACGTTGGCGTGTTCCCCCCTTAGCAGGGACCTGGCTATGAACATCATACGGTTGTCGGGGTGGGGGGGGCAGTCACTTGTACGCATTGGCGTGCACGTAAAAGAACCCTTAGCAGTTGGTATTTTCTTAAAGGAGCCGAACATCTTTGTTTAAGGTCAAAATAAAATAAATAATTGGGTTGATTTGGTGTGTTATTTTGATTAGTCATAGGATACCAATCGGTTGTATCTAAACACTGGCTCTATGACAGATTGTCATTCCACAAAACAAATCAACACAAAAGATAAATTCTGGTGACAATTTAATTTTTGACCCAAAACAAAGTCTAGTCATTTAGGGACATGGATTATGGTTCCCTTTATTAATAAATATTTAACAGGTGTTGACCACTCATTTTGTAAGTAAAAAAAATGAGGTGTATCGTCCTACTTTTCTCCACCGACCGCGCTAATGAAAACGGGAATACGACATGCGATGTGCCATTTTTCCCGAACAACGACAATACGGTTTATACTCTTATTTCAAATTCCAATTTTTTTTTACGTACATGCCAATGTGAACTACCCGAACCACACGACACTGCCATTGCCAGTCCACCCTACCTGCAAAATAGACAAAGGCAAACCGCGCCGGAAGATCCCAATGAGCCTTCTTGACCATGGCCAAGAGCGAATCTGAGACCCCCTGGTTAGTGAGCCAATGTCTTACTCACTGAGTCACCACCGCGTAAATCTTCTAGTTCCACATCAACAGTTAGAGTCACAGGCGCCTGTAACGTGGAAAATTTTAAAAGATAACACCAAACTACGATGACGATTAAAAATTGTCCACGTGACTTGATGTTGATCCCAATTTAAAGTTCTAAAAACAATACTTACCATAGTGGATATTTAAATTTAAAAATAGTTCCTCTGCACATTCAGTAGATAATAAGTCAAAAAACATTTTAAAAACAGCTCAATAACAAACCAAACCTCGTTTGTTATCGTTTAACTATGTGCTACATACATGGGTTATTAATAAATCTTAATTGTTATATCCGTTGTTAACGGAAAAGAATCACTTGTAGTAAAAATGTTGAACTTCGTTCTCTAAAAATACTGAATCACAGATAACAAATTTGATTTGCAAAACTTCGATCTGGATATAATATGTCGGTGTTTCCCAGTTTGATTACACTTTAAGAAAATCCAATATTATTAATAACAAGCCCCAGTAAAATATAGAAATCAATTATAATTTGTACGGTAACTACTCTCATTGACTAAACTTGTCACCGCAATACATCCGGTTCATCAGCAGGTCTGTTTGACTATAATACTAATTGTGTACATTACAGTCGTGTGATAATTTCTACCTCCGTATCATATCTATAGAATATATCTAATCTATCATCCACGTATACTAGATGTAAATATGAGATAATCGATAAGCAGTGATTCGCTACACTAAACAAAATCAACTGTTAATTTTTTGTTGTCCGTTTTCATTGTCAGTACAGCAGGGGTGTAAATATATAAATATAAAAAAGAGAAAAAAAGGAGATGTGCGTGTATTCCATGCCAGAGGTATCGGGTTCGAAACTCACTCTAAACGCACAGAGTAGAGATTATACATCTGTTGTAACTTTTAGATAAAAGTGAGACGTGTGTATTCCATACCACAGGTATCGGGTTCGAAACTCCTTCTTAACACACAGAGTAGAGATTTTACATCTGATAGAAAAAAAGTGACAATGATCTCTGTGTTAGAATAAAATCCGGAACGTGATAATGGCTGACAGTGACACCAACATTGTCGTTTAATCAACTCAATACAATACAAAATATAAATGAACAACCATACAAAACTACGATCAAATAAGTCCAATATTAAATTAAACATACATTATGCAAGAGCTAAATCTGTCTATTGCAGGTCTTTCTTTAGGCCGGAAATGTTATCTAAATTATTAATTAGACATTAATTAACCTATCCAGACCATAATCAACTCTAGATGGCATCGCTAGCCTGCGATCTTCAGTGGATTATGAGCCGATTTACTGCATAACCTTCCTTCACGATTTAACGATTAAATGGATAATCGAGACTATGCTGTTTATCGTACTGACTTTAGTAATGATGATCGAGGCTAGGCGGAAATTTCAAACGCTTAGTTCTCGGTTCATAGTGGATCAATTTGAATGAAATTTTCTGCAAACTTAACTATTATAGTGAGAACTGCCAACTCGTTATTGAATCTCTCATAATGTATCTTTAATTGATATTTATTATATTAACAAATATTGCTAGAAAATACATTAAAAAAATAGGTCTTTATGGGGTTATGAAATTAATAAATATATCTTGACAGATGGATATTAGTGACGCCAGTAAACGTTAAACCATTGAAAATGTGGCATGACATCTGTGTAAACGTATTCGTTTCTCGAATCTGCAAAAGAAAAAAAAACACATTCATGCAGCAATCGAGATCTATACTCATAGATCAAAGATTCGCGTTAGGAATTCCAACAGGGATTTTCCTTATAAATATGCTCTGTGCAGACAATGCCAACGTCGTACATGGTCCAGCCGGACGTTGTATATTGTTGACAAATCTTTAATATCCCATGTTTGGTTTTAAAATGCGAGGAAATAAAGCATTACAGTAAATAATAGCGTTAATTGGGTGACCCGAGGTTCCGTGAAAGAATTCAAGACGATATCAAAGAATTTCACTATGGATTGGCCCCTCTTAAACATACATGTATACGCAAGAGCTAAATCTGCCTATTGCAGGTCTCCCTTTAGGCCTGAAATGTTATATAAATTATTAATTAGACATTTATTTACATGAAAGGCCATAATCAACTCTCGATGACATCTTATGTGTTCGATTTTCATTGGATTTGAATCCAATCTGCTGTTCAACGCGCATTGATGATTAAACGCAAAAGTTGATAATCGAGACTTTGTTTTTTATCGTACCAACTTTAGTAATGGTGATCGCGGCTAGGCCTAAAATTCAATCGCTAATATCTCGGTTCAGAGTGGGGCAGTTTGACTGAAATCTTCAGCATATTCCCTTTACATTATCTAGTTTTTAACTATTATAGTGAGAACTGACGGCTCTTTATCTAATCTTCTATAATGCCCCGTTAAGCGGAAAAAAAATCCGATTAATATCGATATCGAACCACCAGCTAATACTACTACAACTTCTTGACCAAACTAATCGACCATTAAATCATAAGGTGTGTAATTGTAAGTCAAGTGCTATGGTTTCGATTCTCCGCTTGTACCTGACAAGGAGTAGGGTCACCTGTCCAACTTCTTGGGTTGTCTTCGTGTCCCCAGGTTTTCTCCCAGTGCTTATATTCCTGAAGCAATGGCCCGAGAAATCCCTCCAATCAAACAAAACACTGCGAGGTGTATATCCAGTGCTAAGCGAATCACTGAAATACAATTGACTTAGTTTGTGTCGAGTGGACGTTAAACCCCCTCTACGACCATGAGTAAGTATATAAGTAATTTAGATGCTTACCTAATTGTATACACTCATTAATATTATTGCTAAAACAAAAAAGAATGTCGGGAAACCAATGAGAAACATAAATCTATATTGATCAGAGCGGGTCAATTCTGATACATCTTCAGTCTCTAAATCTATAGGTGGAATAGGCTCCAAAGGCTTTCCATTAATATCATCAAATCCAGAATTCTCCATGACTGATTCTAAATAAATAAATCAATAAATAAATCCAGGACTGATTCTAGATATATATCTTAAAAATGCAACAGTGTGCTTTATTTTAGACTAAATATTATAACCTACATTAAAATGACTATACCTGTTTGATTTGGATCAAAAATAAAATGGTCGATTTTATTGGATTTTATGTGTTGAGGAGAGAGAAAGAGAGAGAGAGGGGGGTGGGGGGAGAGAGCTCTGTACGAAGAATCAGGTTTTTAGCTTATGGACACTCTAGAGGTAACTTCCAGAATTATGGCCTCTGATTGTACGAAAAATCGCGTTTTTAAATTCTGGCCCCTCTAGATTTCACAATTTTTATCCGATTTAAAAAGCGTTCGAATATATATCACCGTTACACCATAATTACGGTTTATTTCACATTTCATGAAACTCGGACCGAACCTGTCCGACAAAATAGCAGCTCCCATTAAAAGAGTGTAATATCCAGCTTAGATCTAAATATTAAGGCCACCTGCAGATATCGCCAAACCCTAAACCAAGATCTAGCCCTTAGCCTAGCCCACCTTGGCAACAACCACGTACCTAACCCTGTTTACATCTCGTGACCTGGACGAAATCTACAGGTGATTTAATATTTAGATCTGACCGTAATACCCAGGTTGTGGACCATCCAGCGGTTCGAATTTTTTTTATCCAATTTTGATGAAAGTTAAAATATATATTTATATCCCAAAGATCTGGGTTCCTGTCGATTTGGCGCGTATTGGACCATAACTTTCTGGATTATGACCCCTGGGCCCTTATTCACGAAAACTTAAACTAAGATACAATCGAAATTATAAGAAATACTGCAATTCGATTGGCTGACCAGTAAAATCAATTTGCATATATCCAATTTGCATATTGGTCAGCCAATCGAATTGCAGTATTTCTTAAAATTTCGATTGTATCTTAGTTTAAGTTTTCGTGAATAAGGGCCCAGATTGTACAAAATATTACGTTTGTTTTTTTAGTTTATGGGCCCTCTAGAAGTCACAATTTCTATTATATTTTCAAAATTTTCAAATAGCCACTCCCCTTTACGAAAATAGTATAATAAAAGCATGCAATACCCAACTGTGGACCATTTGAGGTCACAGTTTTATCCGATTTAGATGACACTTAAAGTAGCCAAGTCTCTAACTCAATATCATCAAAAACACGAATTATTGTCAATTCAAATCAACATCGGTCTTGTGATCTTACAGGGAAAATATGGGTTTCTGATATCCAATATTCAAGACAAAATAAACATTTTACCATTGGACTCAAAGAACGCGGCTAGACATATCCACAAGTCATGTCAAATGGTGACGCTATATTCTTATCTGGGGAGCATGCGAAATAAATATCATCGGTGTAGACTGGAATAACCAGACGCTAAAGATTGTCATACAATTGAGACTTCTGGCGTATTTCGCCGAACATAACAGATTAGAAATTACAGTAAAAACGGAAAAGGTTGAATGTAAATCAGTTTATATACATTCACATTACATTATTATATGCGTTGCGATCCATTTGTGTCAATTACCAGGCCCCAAACATTAGCGATTTAGCTCCTTTAAAAGGAGTATCACTAGTTCTTGGGTGAGATCAATTTTCGTGCGCATTTGCCCTTCTACACAAAATGTGAAATATGAATGAAGTTTGTGGACATTTTCACGATGAAACTTAGCCTGTGTGTTAAGGATCAAAAGTTCTTGGATGAGTTCGACTTTGGTACTCATCAGATCTTTCATTCTAGAGCTATAGCCCCTGCTTTTCACGCAAAATTTGAAATACGTATGGATTTTGTTGCTTTAACCTCTTCCCATCCATTCCGTGCAAAATGTGGGCGTATCTTGCATGGCAACCGCTCTTTTTAACTGGTCATCAGGCCCTTGAGGGGGAAAAATGTGCTTTTCCAACACTAGTCATATCTAGATGATTCAGTTGCACTATATATGTTCTGAGGCATCAAAAATATTTTTAAAAGGTCTGTGGATCATTTTGTCATACTGTAATAACGGAATGGGCCCCATCAGTATAGAACATAGCATGCTTTTCTTCTTCTAAGTCCCCACATCGATCCGTAGTGAGTATTCGCGAGGCCGCGACAATCACTGATAGGGATGAACCCCAAATATTAACTTTTTTCCTCCGACAAACTAAATTCTAAAACATTTTTTTTATGTATTAGAAAAATAAATAATGACGTTTGAAGTATTTGTAGGTAAAAATATTTCCTGTTTCAGTGTAAATGGGTATTAAAATGAATAAAAGGCGCCTTTCTGCTCGAATCAGTAACGTCTTATGTAAACAATACAGGTGCCATTGAGCCAATGGTTGGCGCCACGTGATATGACGTCATGTGTTGAAGGCAGTCATCTTTTACAGAGATATTAGAAGACTTTCATAATACTCTGTGAAACAGATTGCTAAGTCTCATGTCTACTCACTTCTATCTTAAAATCAAGCTTTTTTTTGTTTTTATTAGAGTAGGTTCTTCTGTGCAATAACCTGAAGAAAGGAGTATTTGCCGCCAAATTATTGGGGGGGGGGGGGTATGGCAATCTATCTTGAATTTGTGACAGTGAGCCAAACTGTTAGCAAAAATAAAATTAGTAAACATGAGAACTTGATCCGCTTTATCTTTGTAAACAAAAATTTAGTCATTCAGAGCTTGCCCTACCACTAAACGGACTAACACATAAAATCATCTCAATTCGAAAATGTTTAGTTTCTTTTAGATGAGGTTTAAGTTCCATCTCAATAAACTAAAGTTAGTAAAGAAACCGTGGTCATCCCTATTCTGTAAATTATTTTGATATAATAATATGTAGGCCCGAGAAGGCGCGCGTGTGTGTGTGTGTGTGTGTGTGTGTGGGGAGGGGGGGGGTCTCAGTGAGTAAGAGTTGGCTTGCTAACATTTAGTCTCTTTGCATGGCGTGTGCTCGTCTTCATTAGCTCAGTCGGCGCAGAAAGGTAGTTGAACCACATTTCAGGTCACCCTATCATATCATTATTGTCACGTTAATTAAGAAAATAAAATGTCATCCATTCTAAACGATACGTATTTGGAAATATCGCAGATTTACATGAATATAGAAATGTAATTACCGAGACACCCAACATAGGTGACAAAATAACAGGTATATACTTTGTGGGACGGTCCGTTATATAAGCTAGTTGCAAACCACTTCAAATATGTACCACGTATACATTGAAAGTTAAATTATCTGTTTTTAGCGATGTATTGGCACCGAGTCGTGGCCGATTGATGTCGAGTACAATCCAGCTAATTAACATCCACGATGTAAAGTTCTATTGGGTCAAATAACACCCAATCTATATTACAAAGGTTTATTTAGTGAGAGGTCAAGATGCCCATTTTAAATCACGCTGATGCCCATTTTAAATCACGCTGATGCCCATTTTAAATCACAAATTAAATATTGTCTATTGTATTTAAACATGTAAACAAAATCGGGTGCTGTACTTACCGTTAATGCAATTGATAACCCAAATGTCCCAGGCGTTGTTATTGGCCTACGCGTTTGACACTAATATATGTCTATAAAAATTATTTTTCAGTCAAGCATATCATGACTGACTTGACCTACATCGTACCTTATATAAACAGATGGATAACCACGAATTTATTAGTAACAGGAAAAAACTGTGTTAATCCTCGAAATATGTCATGTATTCATGTTAAAAATAACAATAAGATTGTTTAATAAGAAATTAACAGGGGAGTGTAGGAATCCATGTTTACTTTATAGAATTTCCAGGTGATGTACATATTTTAAGGTGTGGCTACTTAAAAACACATGCATGTTTTTATTATTGTTTGACAGTATGATTAAGGTACGAAGGCCCATTAGTGCCAAAAAAAAAAAAAAAAAAAAATCCGTTTGAACGAGTTAGTATCTCGTTTGAACGAATTAGTATCTGGTTTGAACGAATTAGTATCTCGTTTGTACGAATTAATTATCTCGTTTGAACGAATTACGATTTCGATTGTACAGAAGCATGGAAGGGACATGCAGAAATTGTGTTTCAATTAACGATAATATGATTTAAAACGCGTAGATTCTTTACTATTTCTAGCGTTAGCGTCAGTAGAAGGAACTACACCTGTGAAAAGGGGAATTAGTATAGAATACCTTGGAAATTATCCAATTTGTTTAATTGTAGTGAAGTCATTGTTTTATGACATGTATATGCTTAAACAGGCATTATGACAGGTATATGTATGATATTGTAAGGACGTGGATTTGAAATGCACCCAATTAAGAAATAAAATGGTAGATTGTGCCTTAGCTGAATTTTCACTAGCTCAGTGAACAGAACTACAGGTATACGATTGCTTGTCAGCGATGTTTAAATATTAAGAATTAATGTTATTGTTGCCAGATGTGTTGATTGCCTTGGAAGAGGATTTGGGTGAGTTTCTAAGATAGAGGGGTGGGGCAGAGTGTTAAAAGAAATAATTAATTTGCGCATGCAGCATGCAAAACGAAGCAAGAGTACTAGTGCCGCCAAATTTATCGCATTGCACGTCACATCCCTCCCACTAGAGAACCGTGCGGAGATGCGACGCTGCCGTTGGCCGACTTAGTCGATAGGACAGAGGACTTGAAGCCGAGGGTTGCAGAGGGGAACGCTGGCTCAAGCGAGGAACGGCTGTTCTGGTACGTTTGATTACCGGTGCGAGCCGACACCGAGGCCTTCCCCTCTTGGTTCACCTTGAGCCATCGTCCCCCTCTCCGGCTCTCGGTTTCACGTCCCCTGTTCTCTCGAGCAAGTCGACCAACAGCAGCGTCGCTTTACCACACGCCCAAGTGGGAGGGATGTGACGTGCAACGTGGGCAATGTTTCGTCACAATTACTACGCTTGTTTCGTTTTGCATACTGCTACTGCATTCCACGATTTTTTCGTGTCATCCACAGTTTTTTGTGTTATACGAGGACTACAGACTTTTCTAACAAGACTCGCGCCATTAAAGTAGACGCAAATTAGTTGTTTCTTCGATCCAATGGTCAGCTGTCTAACCTTTTGGGTTTTAAAATAAATGCTTTACCATTATGTTAATCCGGAAATAACCTAGTTTGTGATGAGTGGACATTAAACCCCATCTCCCCCTCTTACTCCCTCTCTCTTTGCTCCCGATGCATCGATGCGTAAAATATATATATTTGATATCAGCAAATGTAATACTGATAATTTATTATGAGGTCACCCATATTAAAGAGGTCAGTTATGACAATTAATCCCCTTGCATGGCTTGAATACGGATTCTAGTTATACTTAAAATCAGTTGGATGATATCTGTAATATTAAGGACAGACAGGCGGGCAGTCGGAACACTTTTTCAGTTATCCCCCATCCCTAACATCATTCGACGTGGAATAAAAAGTAGACAATACAACACACCGACATATTTTAACATTAGATAAATAGACCACATGAATAAATATTGTAAACATCTTAATAAACCAATGATACATGAATAAATATTGTAAATTAAAAATGCAGGAGGACCACACCACACAAACAATAGCCAAAAGACAACCTGTGAACAAGACACACACACTACAGTCAAATATACACTTCCCATAAAACCCGAAAATTATTAATTGCAAAAGATACAAACAAAGATTTTGTACACTCCATTTGGATACAGTAATACAGCGGAAACAATGATACATGAAATGAAATGGGGTTTAACATGCTCATTTACAAAATATAACCTTAAGATGAGGGGAGTGGGTGGCCGTTATAGTTTAACGGGTGTGTTTCAGATTATTAGGTATTTCCCTAAGTTAAGTGACGTTGTTTAGACCCCCGCATGTACGTGACAAGGAGTAGGATCAACTGCCCAGTAAATTATTGAAATAAACTTGAACCACATGTTAGTCCTGAAATGACAGTTTTTGTCGGGTAGGGATTTTAAACCCCAGCTCTCTATATATACCCCGAGATGGAAAAAAAATCCTTTGATCTAATAAACTATAAACATACTTATATGATCTAATTGGCCAGTAAGAAATACTCTCAAGTCCACGACAAACAAAATCAACGTTTCATGCGCATATAGTTCAGAACTCCGAGCAGAAGCATCCACTGTACTATTTATAAATTTCAACGAAAGACTAAGTTTAGGGTTTAGGAAATGATTTTAGCACACAACACTTAACATTAATGGTAAACCATTTTAATATCCACGCGCAATGCCTCGTTATGTAGTCCAGTTCTGTTTCACATTTCACCATCGCGAAAGATATCCTACTCTGAGCCAGAGAGAGTTAAAATAGAACCCACAAAAGTACAACCACGCGCTCATATTGCTTGAATTATCCTATTAATTTGACATGACTTTAAGACAACACAATATTTTTGTCTTTAGGATTTTACGCTAGTTCTATTCGGTCTCCTCGTATTCAGAGTTGCTTTGTTGTAGTTTCCCGAGCGAATGCTTTTGTCGTTATATTCGTGGAGGGCCGCGCCTTCGTAGTGTGTATACAGCATTGTCCTTGGGAATTTACCAATGTCTTTGATACCAATTCTGAAGACTGGGGACCCACTACTTCCGAAACATGTTGTAGCAGAATGGTAAAGAACATATCCGTTGTCGCCTTCGTCTAGTTGTTCGCCTATGGAAACCTTCTTCGGTAAGCCATGGGGGTGAGAGATACTGATAACTGAGATTGCCTTATCACCATTGATATTTAATACAGGAAGCACAGCTTGGTGAAAACTTATCAGCCATTGAGGTACGGGACCGAACTTAACATAATCGTAATCTGGTGTTCGTTTGTAGATCTCGGTGATTTGGCTAACACTATTGTCGTTAAATCTCACCTCTATTGGTTGATCTGGAAGTTCTTTGTGATTTAAGAGAGATGTCGTTTGTAGAACGAAGTCACAGTCCATTTTTAATATGTAGTACTTTTCTTCTTCTCTTTCCCCGGGGAACCTCACCCATACATTATAATTCCATAAATCAAGGATAGCATCTGTAATATGACGTACAGGCCCGGTCTCAAATTCAATTTGACAATAGTCTCTTTTCGGGTTCACGTGTCTTAGTTTTGTTCCACGTGTTGTGATAGTATTGGTGCCTTCCTCGTCCTCGTAATTAAAATCAATGGTACAGTTTTCGGCTTTCAGTTCAGAATTAATGACGTGCGAATTTGTAACAACGTACACCTCCCCATTTCTCTTGCATATAAAACCAGTAGCATTTTCAAAATGTGTATGATCTTCGTTGTACACAGTAACCCGAACAGTTCGACTTCCCATATACTTAATATAAATAAACAAATCGCCTACATACATGTATAGCCTAGATCATTTAGTGATAGGACCTAATGATACAATTCTGTGGAATGTAGTATTACACCCATGTCTAGTTCTCCATCAAATAAACGATTTCATAATACATGTATAGCCTACATTATGTGTTTACGCCACGACTGTCTTTATTATGTCAGAGTGACACGGTCGCGTACAATGGCGGATGCTCTAGACTCACTGCTGTATATTTCAATACATGTAAATAAAAAAATAGACATAATCTTATGTTACCGATATATACTATCGGACAGTTCAATTTGAAATGACAGTTTTTGTCGGGTAGGGATTTTAAACCCCAGCTCTCTATATATACCCCGAGATGGAAAAAAAATCCTTTGATCTAATAAACTATAAACATACTTATATGATCTAATTGGCCAGTAAGAAATACTCTCAAGTCCACGACAAACAAAATCAACGTTTCATGCGCATATAGTATCAGAACTCTGAGCAGAAGCATCCACTGTACTATTTATAAATTTCAACGAAAGACTAAGTTTAGGGTTTAGGAAATGATTTTAGCACACAACACTTAACATTAATGGTAAACCATTTTAATATCCACGCGCAATGCCTCGTTATGTAGTCCAGTTCTGTTTCACATTTCACCATCGCGAAAGATATCCTACTCTGAGCCAGAGAGAGTTAAAATAGAACCTACAAAAGTACAACCACGCGCTCATATTGCTTGAATTATCCTATTAATTTGACATGACTTTAAGACAACACAATATTTTTGTCTTTAGGATTTTACGCTGGGTCTATTCGGTCTCCTCGTATTCAGAGTTGCTTTGTTGTAGTTTCCCGAGCGAATGCTTTTGTCGTTATATTCGTGGAGGGCCGCCCCTTCGTAGTGTGTATACAGCATTGTCCTTGGGAATTTACCAATGTCTTTGATACCAATTCTGAAGACTGGGGACCCACTACTTCCGAAACATGTTGTAGCAGAATGGTAAAGAACATATCCGTTGTCGCCTTCGTCTAGTTGTTCGCCTATGGAAACCTTCTTCGGTAAGCCATGGGGGTGAGAGATACTGATAACTGAGATTGCCTTATCACCATTGATATTTAATACAGGAAGCACAGCTTGGTGAAAACTTATCAGCCATTGAGGTACGGGACCGAACTTAACATAATCGTAATCTGGTGTTCGTTTGTAGATCTCGGTGATTTGGCTAACACTATTGTCGTTAAATCTCACCTCTATTGGTTGATCTGGAAGTTCTTTGTGATTTAAGAGAGATGTCGTTTGTAGAACGAAGTCACGGTCCATTTTTAATATGTAGTACTTTTCTTCTTCTCTTTCCCCGGGGAACCTCACCCATACATTATAATTCCATAAATCAAGGATAGCATCTGTAATATGACGTACAGGCCCGGTCTCAAATTCAATTTGACAATAGTCTCTTTTCGGGTTCACGTGTCTTAGTTTTGTTCCACGTGTTGTGATAGTATTGGTGCCTTCCTCGTCCTCGTAATTAAAATCAATGGTACAGTTTTCGGCTTTCAGTTCAGAATTAATGACGTGCGAATTTGTAACAACGTACACCTCCCCATTTCTCTTGCATATAAAACCAGTAGCATTTTCAAAATGTGTATGATCTTCGTTGTACACAGTAACCCGAACAGTTCGACTTCCCATATACTTAATATAAATAAACAAATCGTCGTCTGAATATTGGCCTAAGTCACTGGCTTGCAGGTTTTTAAATAATACATAACTATCATGTTGTTTTTTGCTATTCTTTGTGCAGTTTTCTTCGCCAGAATAACCAGCCTCTGAAGAGGTAGCTATTTCAATTTTTAATTCAGGTGTATCCATGGAGTTCGATGGTACTATATTATCTGAAATAAAAATGAAAAAAACCAGTCGAAATCAAAGCCCAAATCTTAAATTGAAATACATGTTGCTGTTTAAACCGTTCCTTTTCACACATATCAAAATCCTACGACTCCATTAGGATTATACACCAATGCTCCTAATTCAAAAAATGATCCCAGCGTCTGAAATAAACTGACACAAGAAACACCGTTGCCCGTAATTATGTCTTGACTTGTTTACAGACGCAACTTCAGCCATCCGTAACGGTCGGCTTTTTGACATAACTACATGCAGTATATATACTAATATATAGCTGTGTAACTTACCACAAATCTGTTTATTTTAGGCATTTCTTGCTTTTTGGCCCTTGGGTGCTGATATGTTGTAATTTCTCTCATAGACGTTTGGATTCTGACGCTGACACTGTCGATGCTTCCCTTCTATACAGCTAAATATAAATGGGATTTCTGTATGATGACTAGAATTCTATAAATATCCACATTTGTCGGAACTTCCAGTTTCTCGTGTATCACGCAGAGTGCATTGTCAGAGCGACAGCCACACCATTGATCGAACAAGTAGTCGCATTTATTTTATATCGCATGTACAGTTCGATCCCAGTGCTGGGCGGAGAAGTATCTCTGGATTTTTCAGCGTTACTCACCTTGTCAGCAATGCAAGAGCAGTGTCTAGTCGTTTCGTATGGATAAGAAAATCCTTGACAGCTGGAAATCAAAATAAGAGGGCGCAATTGCAGCGCCGAGAGGAGTAGGTCGTAGCGACTAGCGCCGCTGTTCCGGCAATATTTTCCCCAATGCTCACTGCATGGCGTCTTCAGTAGGACGTTAAACCCCATCTATTTTCATTTCATTTCAAAGAGTATTTTCACAGAGCGCATAATAAATCACCGTGACCTGGTAGTGAAACCATCTGTCGATTTTGCCGTATACATACATTTAAATTCATCTATTAGTTAAATAAACAGTCAAAAATAGAATGCAAAACAAGAAACTGATACCCCTTGAAGGTTAAATTTCCGATCCAATTGTTAAAGTGGATGTTATAGTATGTAGAAAACTTAAAGACGCATTATGTAAGATTCAAAGAGATGCTCCTTGTTGCTATAATAGTCAAAAAACAGATAATGAAAATGAATATATTATCAGGGACCGCGCGATAGCCCCCCGTTTTAGTTTCATTAATAATAATTCAGATATACACGATTTTGGCAGAAAATTTTAAGCAAGCAAACAAATGGAAAAACAAAAATCGTGACCATCAGACTCCAAGATATCAAAAAGAAATATTTTTTTATTACTATTCGTTTATTTTTTCAATCACGTTGAACTGGATTCCAATGGAACTTTTTGTGCACACTTGGAAGCTAACCATCAATGCAGCGTTCTGCAGGTCCGGACTAGGCCCTGCTTACCTGCTGGGGCCCGGAAACCCTGACAGTGGTAAGAGCCTCAAACGGAACAAGGACGGATCGGGGTCCTACGGCACGAGGGTCCGGACCGGTAACTTGTAATTTTTAATTCACCATTTTTACTTTAAAAGTGAACAGTCATAATCTGATTCTAATCATTTCCACGCCACTACATGTAGGTACCCACGTTGAGATAAGTTACCGGTTTTCTTCAACTTTACGATCAAGTAAAAGTGTATTTGTTTCATTAGATTATCCCAACAATTTCTTTATACACATTACTCGGCATAGCTCCGGACCCCTCTAGGCTCCGAGCCCCTGGGAAAGTGTCCCAGCTGCCCCCCGCCGTCCCCCCGCTCACGTGCCCTAAAATTATATTGAAAATTTCAATCACATTCCAGACAAGATTTAGTCTAAATAGTCTCGATTGTCTCGTACCATTGCTACGAAGTCGTAATTACCCATTTACCGTTTTCATCCAATTAAGATCTCGATCATTCGATGGTCTGGAGGTTTGATTATGGACTTACTATGTAAATAAATGTCTAAATAAATAATAATTTATATAATACTTGATGCAAGACCGATTTAACTCTTACATATAAATAAGGCATCTTTAATATTGCTTTTGTCAACTGATATTTGTCTAGATCATTTAGTGATAGGATCTAATGATACAATTCTGTGGAATGTAGTATTACACCCATGTCTAGTTCTCCATCAAATAAACGATTTCATAATACATGTATAGCCTACATTATGTGTTAACGCCACGACTGTCTTTATTATGTCAGAGTGACACGGTCGCGTACAATGGCGGATGCTCTTGACTCACTGCTGTATATTTCAATACATGTAAATAAAAAAATAGACATAATCTTATGTTACCGATAGTATCGGACAGTTCAATTTGAAACTTGAAGCAACGGTAATTTGAACTGTCCACGTATTTCACCGAACATAATTATTGATTAGAAATTACAATATTTTTTACAAAAATTGAATATAAATCACTTTATATATTATACATTAATATATGTGCTTTTAGAACCAGTTTTGTCTATTTCAAGGTTCTAAAAAATAGAGCCATACGCCCTTTAAGAAAGCAAACAAGAATGAAAAGGCGAGTTTCAAATATATTATATGGTTGACAATTGTCAGTAAGTGTTGGGTATATGTAAATAGTACAGAGAGGTTCGTAGAACGAGCATTCTAGTAGGAAATGTAATTCACTTTTAATTTTTTGTAAAGTACATGATTGACATATTTTGTGGTCTGATGGTTTATAGCTTTATATCTGCCCCTTTCAATTTAGAGAGAGTGGGAACTGATTCGAAGCGAAGTCATTGCAATTTTGAAATTCTTGTTATGAACGTGTAATAAATAATCAGCATAAGTGTTAATTTGGGTTTTAAATAATCCATGTTATTAATTTCATCACATTTATTTTCATTTGAGCAGCATGATGCAGTAAAATTTAAATTGAATTGTGATTGGAGAGCTGATTTAACATTACTTTTAGTTGAGATTATATGGAAAGTAATTTAGCAGACATGTAACAGAGGCTGTCCAAGATAATTTGATATCAAAATTTGCCGTTTTATATAAAATTTAATGTCATCCTGGAACGTTGCAGCAAGGACAGGGTTATTATTTTTTTTTAAAGTTATTTAGTCTTTAATAAAAAAAAAAAAACCCCGTATCATTCTAGTTGTAAGCGGAAAGGTCCAAGTTCTGCCCTGCAACAAATATTGTTTTTTTGTGGTGGGAGGATGGGGTGGGGGATATAAAATTGACTTACAGTTTTTAATCGATATTTATTGTGATCTATTTGGGCCCACTTTGATAAAATGAATCCCTTAAAACTAACAGTTTGAGATCCCTATCTCAGGCATACAAGTCAATTGGTTTGCCACAGATCCATTGAGTTTGATAAATAGGAAGGTAACAGAGGGGCACATTTTGTTTTTATACTATACTAGCCTTTTTGCCAAGGTCAACATAACAGATAACTCATCGTTTAAGGCGGTCGCTAGTTTACAATATCAAGTTTTATATTGCCAAAAGTAAGACATAAATATTTTCTATTAGGTTTGTTATTAGGTTTATATAAAGAGCACTATCTTAGATTTCTTTGGATTTACTTGTAACTGTCAGTTTGTACAGAAGTCATGAAAATGATTAAGAGAGTTTAGAAGAACCTGGCGATGAGGTTGAGAATATAACCAAGTCATCTACAAAGAGCAAAATGTGGGATTACAAATTGTTCAAACATGGAGCGTCTCGGTCATCACAATATGATTGCAAATCATTCATATAGATGTTGAATAGTGTGGGACTCAAGACACACCCTTGCTTCGCTCCCATATCTGAATCTATTTGTTTTGAAAGACCTTTATTAGTTTTAACTATATAAATTTATATAGGCTACTATACATATCTTTTGTGTTACATAAATTGATGAGTTCTTTTCTCCGGATATTTATTACAAGATCTTTATTATTCCTAATTCTTAATTTATTTTTGTTTGTTAGATTAGTATTCCTAAATTGTGAGAAATGTTTGTTACCAGTAGAAGTTTGTATTTCTAAATTGAAAATATCCTGAAGATTTCGCATCCGGGTGTTAAAGTCACCTCCTAAATGTACATCATCTATATTTTTATATTCACATATATATAATTTTTAAGTTCATCAAAGGGATTGAATTTCCTTTTCTACCAAATTGTAGAGATTTGTTTGAGGATATAATATGAGACATTATAGAGACCAATAATGAGATTAAAAGGCGATTTGAGTAATTTGAACCGAATTATATTGCCATCGGAGGAATCAAGAATTTGTAAACCGTTTTTGAATTTTTATCATATTAAAATGGTAGAGCCACCGCGTCTCCCAAGTCTTGAACAGTTGTCCCCCTTTCGACTGAATATAAAACCGGAATGGCCACAAAACAGATCTTTGTGAGACTAAATATAAATCATATTATCATGATCACTATCAGTCCAAGTTTGCATTAAACTGATAACATCTTATTGGCATAAATATTGAAAGATATCGGACCGTAACTTTTTATTGTTCAGTTTTGATACAAGACACTTGACATCCAAAATCATGTTCGTAATGACATTGTTAAAGTATATTTAAACAAATTAACCCCAGAATAGGCGTTGCACAAAGATCAATTATAAAATCTGTTACACACGAAACCAAGAATATAACGTAATGAGAGTGAAAACTTACAAAATATAAAAAACCTATAAATTTCAAGAGTGGAAAACAAATATTATGTACAAAACATCCTAAGTGGTGATAATCATAATATAATGATTTACATTTTATATTATTACTATATATTTACATTTAATAATTTATACTGTAATAATATATACTCATATACACATGTATACGATACAGAGCAATAGCAGTTTTTACTTCAATCCTTAATTGGTTATGGCATCATACTGTTCTTTTGCTAGAGATTATGAATTAATGTGTCAATGACATGTATTTCATGTGTATTTTTATCAGAATATCGTGATTCGACATAAACAAATTAGCACTACATGTAAATACATGCATTATATCCCAAGTTTAATTTTACAGTATCCTGGAAACAAGAGCTGCTAGCACTGACTGATGAAAGTTGGATACAATACATGTATGATGACGATGGGGTATGTCCGTTTTCGTTTGCCGGTTGGTACGTGCAGACGAACTAAGACGCTCATTTAAAGGGCGTATTTTTCTATTCTATGTAACCTAAAAATAAACGAATATTTTGACTCTAAAAGTACATATTCATTAATGTAATATAATTTATATTCATATGTTTAAAATATTATTGTAATTTCTAATCATATTATTTTGTGGAATAATCTACCATGTTTTTTTTAAGGTGTTGCACATCTCTATTCTTTTATAAAAAACAACTTAAAACATATTTATCAAACAAGCTTTTAACTGACGCTGTATAACTGTTAACATGTTAATAATCTTTTTATGATTGCACAGTCACTTTGTAAAGTTCCACTGAACACGTTATATGAAAGTGCGCACTATACATGATGGAATAATAAATAAAAGTAATTATGTCCGGGGAAGTCCGTGAACAGTCCAAATCGAACAGTAGGCCTATATTTTAAACGTTTTTTTATTATTATTATTGTTTTGTCGTTTGAGAATTAACCATTAAACCACTTATTACTTCCCCTTGTAGGACATGTTTTTCTTTGTTCATTACAAATGGCACACAAAATCATAGAATACACGACTCGTGTATCGTATTGATTATAAAGTGTTCATTGTCTGTTAAATATTTTCACGGCAAGATAGCAACATTAATATTCATTGAAATGCACCAAAATATTGAATTCTAATTCGTGCTTTTAATTTTTAAGATTATGGAAAATATTGAGTTAGAGGTCTAGCTCCTTTAATTTCATATCTATGGTGACACGTCGGAGATATTCTTGACAATCGAGACTTATCAATGGAAGATAACTCCAAACTGTTAATTCTGTGACCTTTGAAGGTGAAGGCTGTGTCGAAATTTAGCAAACTGTTATTATTTTCAATATTTTACGGCACTGGTAAGCACTCTTCAACTGCAAAATGCCTGTCATAGAAAAAATGTTGAATGGTATTTTGCGCTATAATAAAGCAAGCAAGGCAAATTCATTAAAGAAATTAATAGAGATAAACAAAAATATTCAGGTTCGTATATTAATATATCATAATAATTATCGTATTCTACTTTTCTATTCTCTTTTCGTGGGAATGGTTATTTGTCACCCAGGTGGCAAATACAAATGCAAGTGGTTATACGACACTCGGTTTAAAAATAAATTCATTGTTGTAGAACATTTATTGCGTACTTATAGCCTAACTTGTGTTAATTTATGATTTCCATCACATGAAATAAGTTTACAGTTGATGTTGATTGGTGAAAACAACTTGCATTCGATAAACTTTTTCAAACAATAATTTTGTATGGTAAAACTAGGCTAGTACATGTAGGCTACAGTAGATCCTAGAGTATAGTATACATTAAAATTAGTTCAGGTCTATTACATTGTAATTGGGCTAGGCAAAGCAATAAATGACTGAAGATTCAAAGATTCCAATTTTTTTCCCCCCAGCTTACCTAAATTTTGTTTCTTCAGATGTGGCCGAGTAAATTTCAATGGCGTCAGCCAAGTCGTTTAGCAGAAGGGGACGTATTTTTAACAACATGTTGTGTTGCACTAAAATGTTCCTTTACATTGTACGGATGTTCACAGGGACTGACACGCGACCATTTAGCAGTGAAAAGTTGCCCAGTAAAATTGACTGGGAAGTGAACATTTTTCGACAAGGATTCAATCAAAAGGACGTTTCCTGAACGCACAGGGCGAGTGTAATGAGACCCACCTTCAGAGTTGAACTGCATTAAAATATACTAACATTTAGATAAACTACATTCTCATACAAGGCTATGAGTCATTTGAATACAATGTATTATATCATTTGAAAGTTGGGACAGTAATTATATTTTATCCATGCTGCATATTGCATTGTCATGAACCATTATTAGAATCAAATTTATACGAGGAACTTTTATCTGTTGTGGGGATAAATTCCAGCCAATATGGGATAGATTAATGCTGGGATCTGTCCACCAGTTCTTTCATTCTTTGTAGGCATACTTTATAGCTGCACTAGATTTTTATTTCCTGGCAGCCTATCTTTAGTAGAGCTACTTGTGAAAGCTTTCATACCTTCAAAAAAATAAAAATATAACAAACTTAGTGGACAGCTCAGACAACTTAGCAGTTGTAGGCATATTTTCTATATATTATATCTTTCATCTTGTTAATCAATTTGTTGTTATTGTTGTATCTGCTAAATGGCTTCCAAAGTAGTTATCTATATATTGCACTACGTTTTTGTTAATTAATTATTATTTGCTTGATAACAATACCTGTATGAGTATTGAAACGTAGCATGTTAATAAAATTCAGAAGTAGTATATCCATATTAGTGTGTTATTTTTAGTGAAATCTATTTCTATATGTCTTATAAGGATTATATTTTCTGTTGCCTAGCATCAGCTATCTTTCGTTCATTGAAGTATTGTTTGAATTATTTCTATTATCTTTTTTCTAGCCGAAAGCTGTTATATTTTCCTGTATGGATGCTAGAGTTCGTCCAAATAGGTTTCTAGATGATGATCTTGGTGATCATTTTATTGTTCGTAATGTGGGAAATATGGTACCCGATGCCAGCACTCTGAATCAAAATACTGTGTCTACCGAAGCAGGAGCACTTGAGTTTGGTTGTATTCAAAAAAATGTTAAAGATATTGTTGTATGTGGTCATTCTGATTGTAAGGTATGTGTATAGTTGTATTACAAAAAGAGGAGACTTTGCATCTCTAGTCAAATTTAATCCCTTCAGAAGAAACTTCTATATGGTGTTTAATGGGTTAAAAAATCTGCACTACATATATATTTAGGTAGTTTTATCTTTGCGAGAAGCCCATTCGAACCTGAGGGTGGAGAGGAAGGGGGTTTAATGTTTACTCAACACAAACTAGGTCATTTTGGGATTAACATATGCTTCTATTTTATGTCAATAATTCGCTTGCGCGTATGGGTGTTTAGCAGTGGGAGGAAACCAGAGCCAGAGGGCACGGGGAAAACCCACAATGGTGGACAGGTGACCCTACTCCTTGTCAGGTAAATGAGGTGAATAGCAACCATGCAATTTGACTATTATGATCCAAAGCAAACCCTTCGGGGCAGCTGATGAAATGTACCTAAAAAATTAATTATGCGATAAAATATTGGTTGCAGTCAGTATACTATAAATATACCTGGCAAAACTTGCTTTCACATTTCGGCCTGTTTATTCCATTGCATTGCATTGTACTTAGAATTAAATTGACTGCATGTAGTATCATCTGTTTATTTATTCATAATGACAAAAATGTTATACCAATTTCATTTTTATACACCCACATCGAAATGTGGTCTCATATTTTCGTCGCCCCCGTCAGTCGATCCGTCGTCCACAATTGCTTGTGGACGTGCTAGAGGCTAAAGTTAATATCCGATTGACTTTAAATTTATACACAGTCATTAAGGTCATGAGACGAAGAAGCCTATTGATTTTCAGAGATTTCAGATAATTACTTCCAAAGTTAAGACCCTTGATCACTTTAACAAATCTTGTGGATACTCTAGAGGCTAAAGTTAATATCTGGTTGACTTTAAACTTATACACCGTATTTAAGGTCATGAGACAAAGAATCCTATTCATTTTCCGATTTCCGATTTCCGATAATTACTACCAGAGTTCAGGCCCTTGATTACTTTGAAAAATCTTGTGGATGCTCTAGAGACTAAAGTTAATATAAATTGTTTAAGGTCATGAGACAAACAATCAAAACAAATTCTAATGTTTTCTGATAATTATTTCATGGGTTATTTTTACTTGTAATCAGATTTTCATGTGTTGTAAACATCCACATTACTGACAAAAGAAGAAATATGCGACAACACTTGTTGACTGTCTGGACGACTTAGCTGCTGTGGACGTATGTTTCGTTGCCTGGCAACATATCTTTAGTTGTTCAGGAACACCCTATATACACAGTTTTGGAGAAAATCGATATCTTTGATTTATAAATCAATCAAATGATTCACACACACACACATGCGTTAATATTTTATATCATATAAATAAGTTTACACAAGTATTTTCAATATTATTATTTCAGACTGTCAATATGTTATATGATACTTGTATACAACAGAAGGAGGATGAACCTTCAAAATCCTATCTAGAAATGTGGTTAAAACTTCATGGAAGAGATACTATTGATATATTTAAACAATTGAAACCATCAAACAACTATGCCGGACCATTATTGTTTGAAATAGAGAATTATAAAAGTTTTGAAGCCTATATTGATCCAGAAAATAAATTCAGCATTACTGATAAATTTTCTCAGGTATTTTCTTAGTTTGCTTTAAAAAATTTATGGTGAGCATCAGAACCTGTATATATGTGTAGAGTTTCTATTGAACTTTGATTTCTATCTTCTGTAATGAGATTGATCTCCCAATTTGAAATTTAGGCGGGTTTAGGTGAGGGCCAATTATCACTCTTCTTTTAAGACAAGGTCTGATTTACATATATATCAGAATCAGTTCAAAAAGACAGATTTGAATTTAAAAAATGTTCCTGTTTTATTATGATAAATGCATCTATTGAGATCATATTGGTCAGCGTGTTTTCGTCAATAACCAGGTAATCAATCATTTAAGGATACTTCCCTGCGTACAAACTATGTGATTTGATGATATACTTGGACTAAAAGCATATTCAAACTAATTAATTTATTAAAAATTTGCTTCATATCCCTGTCAAAACTTTGTATTCACGTTGAGATACCTTAAGCTATAAATAAACTGTTGTTAGAAGCCATGTTTGTCACCTAACTTCATTAAGGGAGGGTCTATTCTTCAGAATGTATTTTCCATTACTTACTGTTCATTTACCATACATATTGAGGCCTAAATAAGTTCTTAACTTCTTTTTCTGCCGTTAATTGCAGAGTCTTTGGTACATTTACACCCCTCAATGTTCCCAAAACCGCCTAACCATTTGATCAAGAAATAACAACTGCTCCCAGTCAAGCTTGCACACAAAAAGCTGGCAGAAAACAGTCGGGTTGCCAGTTAGTGTAGTGAAACCCTGCCATTTTTGCCCAGTGGGTATTTTTCGGGTAATCCAGTATTTTTGGGGGCGTCTATACTTTCCATATACCAAATTTGCCATACTTTTATTGGAAATAACCACCTGATAGATACTTTCATGACAATGTATCTTTAAAAGAGACAAGTCTCTAATTCAGTATCATCAAAAGTTTTTCGACATTGCAAGCACCACTTATCATCAATTTAAATCGACAATGATGTTGTTATCTTACCGTGAAAAGATGGGCTTCTGATATCCAATATTTAAGACAAAATGAAGATTTGAAAATTGGCACACGAATCAAGTGCCAGAATATTTTTCGAGCGCCATTTGTAATGAAATGACTCAATGAACGAGGCTAAACACATCCCATAGGAGAATACTGTCAGTGTAGACTGGAATAACCAGACACTAAAGATTGCCATTCAATTTGGACTCTTTGTGTATTTTGCCAAACATAACTGATTATAAATTACAGTAAAAACAGAAATGATTGAATGTAAATCAGTTTATATACATTCATATTACATTATTATATGCATTTCGACCCATTTGTGTCCATTTCTAGGTGCCAAAGAATAGAGATTTAGTAACTTGAAATGTCGGACAAAGTAGGTGTAATTATCGCTTACATTTTGAAGCCAGTAAAAAACCTCAAAAGTGTGACTAACCAAAACTTTACAAACCAACTGAATGTAACCAATATTGTTTAATATATGTATTAGTTAAAAAAAAAACGTTTTTTGAGTGGTTTGGGACATATCTATGAAATTAAAGCAGTTTAAGGTAAAGGTATATATACTTCTGAGACACTCTTAAATAAATCGGTAGACATAGATGCATGGTATTTGGCATACAGCATTTTAATGTATTGATTGTTGAAAGTTGGTTCCATACATTTTTGGTTCTCATAAACAAACAAAGCTCATATACAGTCCTTTGACTCTGCAGTGATAATCTGCTACTAAATTTTATATTGTCTAATTTCAGGTTAACTGTTTACAACAGTTACATCATATATCAACGTATCCTTTTCTAAAATTAAAACTAATGACGGGTCAACTCTTCCTGCATGCTTTCTGGTTTGATGTTCATTCAGCTGATGTTTATATGTTTAGTCGAGCAAGGAAACAATTTATACCAGTTAATCAAGATAATTTTGAACATTTATTAATTGATTCTCATGAGCAAATCCCAAAATAGGTTATACTTTCTATATAATGATATGCTTATTCTGTACTAGTTATAGCCATTCTTTCCATGAGGAAAGCCATTCTTGTACCCATTGCTACTAGATTTGGGATATTTTATCCAGTCTGACTAGACGTTTTGCACATGAACAGTAAACTTCATATTAGCGGTACTTGTGACTCCTCAGATTTCCAATATCTGTGTGGTCAGTTTCTAAAAATTAATAACCAATAATATTAATAAAGACTTATTAAAAACTGCCCAGAAAAATGAAAGTAGAAAAGATGGTAAACCATGGTTAATTATGCAAACTAAATTTCTGTTTCACTGGATGTGTCTAAAGGTTTTTATCATGCCATGATGCCAGAAATTGAAAATGTAATGAAGCAGAGTGGTAGAAGAATGGGGAAAGCAGTGATTATCAACTTTGTAACAGATAATTATCATTTGTAAATAGCCTTTAGGTATGGATGAAATATTGCAAAAGCACTACTCAATTAGTCATTGAAACCTGCATTTAATTCATGTTCAGATGTGATGTGAAAAGGGTATATAATGAATCAATGATGCATAATGATTTTCATAATTATTGTGAATGTAAATTACAGAGCATATGTGTATTGAAAATCACCAATTTGATAACACAATTTAAAGGATTAGACTTCATTGATTTAGGTAAATACAATCACAATGTCGATTTAATTGTGTATTGATTTTTTTGTGAAGAGGGTAACCTAAATCAAAGTGGTTTAGCTCCTTTATTTATGCATATATTTTAAATCCATGTTATATACTGGTATAGGTCTACATATTATATTATGTGATATTTTGTTTTCTTGTTGATGTATGAATTCCTGATTTATTCTCATAGTATATAAAACTCTTTAATAATTTTTATGACTTTTTTTTATAAGCACAAATTTAATGTTGATTTATGTTGTCGTCAGTGCGTCCATCCACAATTTGTTGTGAACAATCGTCAAGTCAGATATATTTTCAATTAGTGAGAATTGTTCATTAGGCCATGAGGAAAATTGCTATTAAAGTTAGGATTCTTAGATGGATGAGTTATCTTTCTGTTAACGTTCAATTGAGCATTTTAATTCAAATAGATGAAACTTTGTGAATTCATATAGGGCAAAAATTGTTCTCTGGGGGCAGGGAGGAGGGTGCTAGGATCTTTGAAATCTTGCGAATCAGGAAGTTAAAGCAGGCATGGTTAATTTTGCTGATGGTGGGTGTATTAAGGGGTCTTGATAAGCCTCTGCCTATGTTTGTATTTACTGCTGATATAAACATATTTACTTGCCATAAAACCAGCTGCAATACTTATAGCTTTACTATATTATGTTATATATTATCTATTATAATATTCTTGAAATGATGTAAAGTTGAATATTTTTGTAAATGTTTTGTTTAGTTGTTTGAAAATATATTGATTTTTACAATCTAGAATTTAAAACAGACAAATAATGGAATAATAAATTATTTATGTGTAATATTTAATGATACATCAATTTTAATGAAATCTAAGCGAGAAAACTAAATTGCGTATTGCAAGAATTTTATACCATACAATGTCCATTTTCACAATGTCAAGAAGTTGTTGTCCAGTATCTCATTCATAGCCTTGATCAAAAAATGTCTCTCACTGTCTTTGGTGGACAACTATAGTTAAGACATCTGTTCGCTGTTATTTAAATTATTTAGTAAAAATTTTGTACCAGAGCTTCATATGTTTAATAGAAACTTCAGTTTGGTTTGATCTCACATGATTTGGAAATTGCCCAATTCATTTAAAATCATCAATGAGAACTAGACTGTGATTGTCTCAAATCAGATGAGTCAACAATTTATACTGATAATAATTAGTATGGCTGGGTATATTACATTTTGTAGCATAACCTATAGAAAGAAAAAGCAGTACTTGCCTTGGGAGGATTGACAATGTCTAGAAACTTTCAGATACCTTAGAACTTCTTAAATTAAAAAAATGTTAAGAGGTTTAAATCCTGAGGAATATGGATAAGAATATCAAAGTTTTTTATGGAAATTTGCAAGTTGTTCCATTCAGATATCTAGATTGGACACCACAAAAAAAAAAAAATCATATTTAACAAATATATATATATATATATATATATATATACACTAACTAAATAAAATTTTGATCTTTATAAAACCAGAGAAGTTTTCTCTTGTAGACAGTATTAATAATGTAACATTTTAAATGAGCCGTCCCACATATAGTTTAATGAATAAAACTGGTGGTAAATGCACTTAACCTTATCACAATCCTGTTCAAATATTGGAAGCTCTCTGATACTTGACAAATACTAATGGTCAGTTCTGAGGCCTGGTTGTTGACCTATGTTTACCACTGTTATTTCTCACTAGAGTGTGCCATCATGAATATATAACTGTACTTGCATAAAGTTTTCAGTGTTCTGATTGTCTTCAATTTGAGTACTTATTGCCCCTGATGTTTGATATTTTAGTAATATATAGGCTTGAGTTCATGGCCGTTTTCAACCCAAGTTTGATTATTATTTACAGTACAGTCCCCTAACTATAAAAACTCAAAATGTACCCAGTACTAAAAATCACAAAATGAGTCTAATAATTACAATGGGGACAAAGTTGGTGGTTGGTGTATGTTACATTGCCGGGCAGACTATCTTTATTGTTTCTAAAAGCTGATACTACAGATGTACAGGTAATTTGTGTTTGGTATATCTTAGTATTTATAGTTATACTCTTGTTAAAGCTTGTATCTAAAATAAACTATGTAATGCACAAATTATAAAAATATAATATACTGATACACTGTATATATATATACATGTACAGTAGAATATGTAATGCACAAATATAAATATATTGAAATATATGTTTTGTTATTGAAATTTTTAGAAAAAAGAATCTACAATTCCAGTCATGTGTCAGGGATTGGACGAAGAACCAAGGCCCTGTGTACAATTGGTAGTACAATAGAATCTGATAGACTGAGAAACCTATTCTTATGTTTGCCACACATACAAAGTTTCATATCTTCATGACTTACATCCATCACTCCATCTAGTTTGACTTCAGAGAAGTCTTATGCAATGGCACTGTCCACTGATATGTAGCAATTAAGATATCAAATTTAATTCTGTTGTTAGGCATCATTGATCATAATGGTATACCCCATAATGTACGTCTCAAACAGGTGTACCACTATTCTGCATAACCCCCTGTGTCATCTAGTGCAAGGCATGTGTCGGTAATTATAAAATTTAAAGGTACCACAGGGGTGTTGCAAACATAAAATGAAGTAACATCTAGTTATCCTGTAAATCAGTATATTAGTATCATCAAACAGAACACTCCCCAAAACAGTACAGCCATACAAAAGAAAACATGAGGATTTGAAAAACAATTTTAGACACAGAGATATCTGAGAAGCAGGTCAACCAGCATATCTTTTTTTATATGGCAAAATATTTGGTGATTAACGGTACATGTATTTAGATGCTGGGCTAATAAAAGTCATTGATAACAGAACAATGATGTCATTGTTTGGTTTAATTTCAACACACGTTTACGTCGATCCATTCCCATCAGATCATATAAATGTTTTGTTTTACAGTATTACATTATAAAAATTGTTGTGGATTCAGGACCAGGATCAGGTTTCACAAAATACATGTAAAACTATAAGATATTTTAGGAAATTGTCCAATGTTTGAGAAAATAACTTCATAACAATTTTATAAATCTCAGTAAACTCTATGTTGGTAAGATGACCAATATAAAAAAGGCAATCTGTAAATGTTTATTATACAGTATATATATATTTTGTTTACATTATATACATGATCACTATAATATTGCACTAGGAAGTTTATCTATTGTATTTTGAAGTCTAGATAATGTACTATCTTTTCCTATAATTGCCATCATTTCTGCCACAGGAGGACCTTCCTGAAAAAAAAAAAACAAATAAAAATTTAACTGAATATTCAAATTAAGAAAATAGTGTAAATTTCTTTGTATACTTAACTAATAAAATCAAGTAACCTGTAAACTCAATTTCTATTGAATTTTAAAATTAAATCGGTTCAGTAGTTGCTGAGGTAAGGGCAGCTTTTTTATACCAAGTGGCCCCAAGAAGTTATTTCACAGAGTGGGATGCTTGACCTTGTGTGTAAACTCAGCTCAGGACAAATTTTATATTATAGGTCTCCTCTCTTCTTTTGTTATTAGCCCATTAAAACAAACCTTCTGTTGAACATACAGTCTTTAATATATCATGAAATGTATGAGATAGAATTGTTTCAATGAATTGCATTAGTCCACTGGGACAAGACCAGAGCAACAGAACATATAATCTCCAATGGATAATTGTTTTTATTTGCACCATCTTGTGGGGGGGTTGGATGGCTGAATGCTTAGCACGTGTGCGCTGTATCATAAAGCCTGTCATTGAGTCAACTGGCGTGGTTTAGAATGCCCGGTTGTACGTGACAAGGAGTAGGGTCGCCTGTCCAACCCCGTGGGGGGGTTGGATGGCTGAATGGTTAGCGTGTGCGCGCTGTATCATAGAGTCTGTCATTGAGTTGACTGGCGTGGTTTCGAATCCCTGGTTGTACGTGACAAGGAGTAGGGTCGCCTGTCCATCCTCGTGGGTTTTCTCCGGGTCCTCCGGTTTCCTCCCACTGCTAAAGAGCCCTACGCGCAAGCGAATTATGTAAATAAAATTTTAAAAAACGTATGTTAGTCCCGAAATGACCTAGTTTGTGTCAAGTGGACGTTAAACCCCATTTCTCTCTCTCTCTCCAACCCCGTGGGTTTTCTCCGGGTCCTCCAGTTTCCTCCTACTGCTAAAGATCCCTACGCGCAAGCAATTTATTGAAATAAAATTAAACCATAAGTTAGTCCCGAAATGACCTAGTTTGTGTCGAGTGGACGTTAAACCCCATTTCTCTCTCTCTCTCTCTCCACCATCTTGTATCCACAGAATGATAACTGCTATAAAACAAACCTTCTGTTGAATAAGTCCATCTAATGCCTTATTCATTATAATAATCAAACACAGGAAATACTGTAATCAAGGTGTAACTTTCTTGTTGGTCTAAATAATGTAAGTTTAAAAATATTACCTTCAATCCACTTAAAGCCATTCGCAAGATTTTCATATAGTCCATCATTTTCATTTTTTCCTCATTTATATGACATTTAAGAACCTCAGCTAAACAGTCTTTAGTAAAATGGTCAACATTCTTTAATTTATTAGCACAGTTAATTAACACAGCTTTTACAGTAGGGTCTATAGCTTGCATGGCATCTATATGACTGTCAGATGGTGTTGACCACAAGAAGATAAATCTTGACCCCACCAAATCTTGTAATTTGACAATTCGATTCTGAAACACAAAACATGGTCATATATATCATAGACAATCACTGTAACCCAGGTATCATTTAATGTTGTGTATCTAGCACTAATTTCTTTCACATCCGTTTAATATCAAATCTTTGTTTAAAAATTTGTAAAAATCGTTTAAAATCACCCAAAATTATCTAATTTGTACTTGTGTTCAGTTTAAAGCTGACTGATTAATTTTGATAATGAGTGTTCAATTTACAAGTATTTAATTTCCTGACCACTGTTCAAAATTTAATCATTATACATCATTAATCAGTTGGGTTGTTTATTTTTTAACAGTGATTGAAAAATTAAACACTTGTAAATTGGACACTCATTATCAAAATTAAATGGTCAGCTTTAAACTGGACAAAAGTACAAATTAAATGATTTATGGTGATTTTAAACAGTTTTTATGAATTTTTAAACAAAGATTGGATATTAAACGATGTGAAAGAAATTAGTGCTAGATGACCTGGCGCCTGGTACGTTCGGGCATTTTTATGCGCGAACTCTTAGTTTTTTTTTACTGGCATGCGCACAGGGATTTCGTGCGGAGGTAGTTCGGAGGTAAACAGTCTGTGAAGTACAACACTTGCCACTGTACCTGTGTATCGCTAATTATAAACCGAATGTGTGAAGACAGTTCATACATATCACTCAAAAATTTTTCAGTACAAACTCAGTTGATTCACGCTCGATTTGCTACTAAACAAACCCATCGGTTTATTTTCTCAACAGTGTGACCCGAAGTGACCGCGGATTTATTGACCTTGTATGAACTTATCCATAGCTATATCCTTACACCGAGAGAAATTATCTAGTCTCGGTGAAAAGAACCATGGTCATCTGGTAGAAAATTACTTTTGTATTTTTTGGAACGGAAAACAGTGTTTTTAGAAGCAAACTAACCTGCCGCACATGAGGAAGTCATTATACTAATAATAAAAGGCGAGCCCCTTTTTGCGGCGCATGCTTATCACTGAGTAGTAAACCGTCCACAAACAATAATATAGGAAGCCTAGTGACGAGTGTAGTAAGTAGGCTATAGACTATAGGTTTGAGTCGAGATTACTCGCTTTCAGTTTACTCTGTTTTTGCGATAACCAATTATGTGAGAAATACCATACTGACATTCGGTTTTTAAAAGTTGTACGCGAACTAAATGCGTTTGTTAGATACTGACAGAGCAGCCCCGAGTCGAACAATCGCCGCCCGAGCTGTCTTCGTCAGCTAGTTTCACAATATCGTGCAATAGGTGTATTAATTTGATTTTTAGGTTTAACCCCGCAAACAATGCCAAAATAGTGTTTTCACTGCTCAAAGAAAACTGAAATTTAAAAAAAAAATTTTTTATGAGGGTGACCCTCCCACACACTCTCTATCGAGCTGCCGCTCGGTCTGCGCAGCCTCATGCCTGGCACATACTGTCAACATTGTATATTTTTCCGTTTCCGCCCTTCCCCCCCCCCCACAATATATATTTCACGGCTACGTTGCGACGGTACCAGCATACCCAGTTGTTGACACCCATTACATCACTCCTGTCTAACAAATCATAAAGCTGTGGTGTTACGGTGGCGGCATAGTATTTCACTGTAACACCACAGCCACTCTAACCATTCATAATACATCTAACTATCCCTTTACAGCACTTCACTCCCTACACATTTCCCCTCGTCCTACTTTCCCAAACGTCAACAACACATCTCATACATCCAGTTCGCTGATTAACCCTTGTACCACGTCTACTGGATACACAAGATTAAATGGTACCTGGGTTAGAGTGAATCCCACTGTGGATAAAACAAATATGGAAATAAAATTAAATGGAGTCTAATATGTTACATTTGAGCACATACTGGGTTAATGAAGACAGATATGATATGCATTGTGCTATTGGAGGAGTGGGTGCTGTTTTATTTTTCGTGTAATGTGGCGGCGATATGGTCTTATCCATTTACAATTTCTAACTATCGGGAGATCTCTAACATGTTGTCAATGGTATACATGCGAATGACAATGGGTAACCCAACTAGAAAATCCTGAAGTTTTGTCATTTCATTAAATGTGATCCTAATGTCAATTATTTACCTCTGCAATGCTCCAATCCAATACTCTACCAATATAGTCTTCGTTACTACAACATAACAGAAATAGCTGTTTTACTATTAGTGAAATTGTTTTATTAGTTCTGTTTTGAGCAAAGGTATACAACCAAATGTACTTAAAGTAGACAAGGCTTGCTAATATGCCCATCACGAGAAAAGTTATCCATGCTTCAACAAATCCTGCAAAGTAAGCTGTAAAAATGTAAACAGAAGGATAACTCCTTGAAACACACTAGAATTTCAAGATCCGAAAATACTAAATTTCAATAGTTTTTAAAAAATGACAGATGACAAACTCAGGTGATGACAATATACATATACATCCACATTCAATATGGCCATATAAAAACCATACTGGTTGGAAATTATTCCAATCCATTAATTATAGGTCCTGCAGGTTTTGTTTTACTCTGGGGAATTTAATTAGAATAATGGTCTTTACTATAAAATTAACCACAGATTTTTGACCTCGGTGATATTAGTGAATAATCTGATTTGTTGTCCATTTAGGACCATACATATATACTTACATAGTTCCAAATTCCTTATGAACAATATCTCCAATGAATTTGATTAGTTTGACTCTCTCATCTGGGCACTTTATTTTATTTTTTAATTGAACTTTATTGGCTTCTTCTAACCATTGAGGATCAAGACGACCATACTGTCTTTTTATACGCGCTACATGGAACTAAAATTATAATAAAATCTAAGTGTAAAACAAGAGTAGATTTCTCGGGATTTGGATATGTTTGCAAGAATTGTTTAGGTATTTAGTTTCAAGAATTTCAAAGAAGTACATCTTTAAATCAAGCTAACAATGAAGTTTTATAGAATAATTGTTGTAGAGTTCAAAATGAAACTGAAGAATATTTGAACTTTAATTTTTTGTGACAGACATTAGAAAATGTTTTCTTTTCTTTCATGTTTGTAATGGATTTATACTTGATTTTTTTATACTTTATAGTACAAGCAAGTTTTATTAAATTTCTATATTTTATCTGAGTAATAAAATTTAAAGTTTTACCATATCGGCTAATTGTGGCAAATTGAAACCATAGAGTTCATCTGTTCCAAATCCACCCCCTACTTTTGTTACATAATTTATTACAGCTTCTGGAAAGTAACCTGAATCCTGCAACAACAAATAACAACAAAGTTACAAATCTGATTTAATGTCCATTTAATAGTACACCATACCCACCAAGCAATACTTATAACAGTATATAGTATATACATGTACTATATACCAAGATGCCAAAGCCTCAGTTGACGAAATACCAGGGTACACAAACTATCATGATGTAAACTAAACAGTTAGTCGTGTCTCTCATGGATAAAGTCAGGGAAAGTGGTATTCCGAAAAGAATGCCATTCCCGGGCTTGTGCACAATACCGATCAGGAGACCAAAGGCTGAATGGGGGGGGGGGGGGATGCTAACGACAATATACTCCCATATGAAATATAGTCATTGTAAAATGACCTACTTGAAATTGATATTTTTAATATTAATTTGAATGTAAACTTACCTTATAATATTCTACATTTATATCATTTTGTCGTTTTGATAACTTACTTCCATCCCTATAACATAGAAATAAAGGTTTTTTCAATTACCAGTTTACATTTGAAAACATGAAATGGAATGAAATGAAATAGGGTTTAATGTCCTACAGTTATGCTCCTAACCCTGGCTAATGAAGATGGGCATACGCCATACAGTGTGCTATGAGGGAAATTTTGCCCGGGCAGCGGCGCTACGGCCTACTCTTATATCGAATTCCAACTGCCAAAGGATCTTTTACGTGCACGCCAATGTGTACAAGGGACCTCGGTTTTTCGTCCCTTCCAAACGACTAGACAGTTGTCCTTGTCAGGCCCTCCGTCCTGCATCACTGACAAGGGGAAACCACGCCGGAAAATTGGGATGAACTTTCTCGGCCAATGCAGGGATCGAACACCCGACCTCCAGGCTAGCGAGCCAGCGTCTTACCCACTTAGCCACGTGATCCCCATTTGAAAACATAATCAGAAATTAAAGTAACAACCATCACACTTTTTGGTAAACAAAAATCATTAATTTAATATCATATCATTTCAACAATATAAATCCAGAACACATAAATCTTAAATTCATCTGTTATCACCATTGATAAAGATGTAAACGTGCCACGATAGTGCTATCCCCTCTCATGCCACAAATTTTGGTTGTAAGTTTGCCATATTTACCAAAATGTAAAATATTCTTATACAACGGCATGAATTTTGGTTGGGTTTATCATACCACCATTTCTTTACATGACCAATTTTATTAATTTACTTGTTTACTGCTGAGGTCGAAGATTGAATTAGATTGAGAGCCCAAAAATATGAGAACAGTCTTATAGCCAGTTCCATCACCAAATTAATCACATAATGATGATCTTTACCCAGGCATACCAGTAAATGATTTTCTACCTTTAAATGTTTACATAATTATTATCTAATAACTAGTCTTACACTTGTTTACAATCAGTGGTAAATGATTTTCTATCTATTTATAGCATGTTTACATAATTATCTAACATCTAGTCCTACTTGTTTATACTCAGTGGTAACTGATTGTCTATCTGGTCTTACTTGTTTACAATCAGTGGTAAATGTGCAAATTGTGGCGGAGACCAATTAAATGCTTTATATATCATGATATGTTTGGGTGTTGATGCCTGCCATTCCTGAAAAATGCACAGAAATCTCAATTACAGCCCATCCTAATTGCTATTTAATAGCTTTGTATATTAATGTTAATATGGGGTTTGATGTCCCCACAACATAATGATATATCTTTATTTCAGTAATTTGTTTGTGTGGGGATGTGTTATGGAGAAAATTAAAGTACCCACCCACAGGCGACCTGATCTTTGTTGTATATAACATTGGGATTTAACTCACACTTTGTATAATATACAGTGTTCACATTTGACCACTTGGCCACCATCCCCCAAATTCACTTTAATGAATAAATAAATATATTTAATATATTTGATTTAAGTTTATTTCAGCGCTCATGAATTTTGAGTTTAATAGTTATACTACATCATAATTGAAAATAATCTTAAAAAAAAAGTCTTGTTTCCTATTTCTTTTATCATTTATCACCAGATTAACGAGTCAAATGGTAACAAGAAAGGAGACAAATATTTTATAATAAATATACGCTATATTTTCAGTGGTTGTACAACATACACCATATTGTCAATGATTGTATAATACACACCAAATTTTCAGTGATTGTAAAATATACATTATTTTTTCAATGTTTGTATAATATACACCACATTTTCAATGTTTGTATAATACACACCATATTTTCAATGCTTGTATAATATACACCATATTTTCAATGGCTGTACAAATATACACCATATTTTCAATGGTTTTATAACATACATCAAGTATGACTTACATCTCCTCTAAAAACATGTGATATCTCCATATGATGATCATCTACAACATTAGCAAAATGGTACGTAGGATATTTATCAGATTTAAGTAGAACCTAGAAAAAAAAATGGGGATACATGTCAGTGTTTAAATTAGTCTTAAAATCATTGGCACATTTCTGTCATACATGCCCAGAATCTGCTGTCAGTTGCTTGGTGGCATAGATGCTGGTATCTGCATTAAATTGTCTATGAACCATTAAACACCTTAAGAAAAAACCCAAGATTAAACCATAGATCCATTTAAGTAGCCACACATGTCATGCACAATTCAGGTTATGTTAAGGAGTCTACATAAATAACTCATATTTGTAGTATTTTTGTATTACTCTGGTATGACATCAAATTATATAGAATAGAGTTAATAAATTACCGGATCTCCCTCTATTTCAGCTACATTATGTACAATTGGTCCTTTAATCATATCTTCATATGGTTCTTCACTCCATTCCATCTATAATAATTTAAATCATAAAACTAAAGCATAATATCAATGGTATAAAAGGTAACATAACTGTGGTCTGGCCCAATATTATCTCCCCTTAGTTGGAACAGAGAATTTAGAATGTACCGTCCTAAATCTAAAACAAATGTGCTTTATTTAACCAGTTTCAGTATTTTCTGTGATTTTATTGGAATGAGTTTTATTTTCAGGTAAGGGCAATTTGGTAATTTGTGATGTCAAAAGCAGCAGATGATTTGATACCTATATAGTGGGTAATATTCTTGTCCCCTAGTCAAAGTTTGTATTGATTATTGTACAGATTTAACTGGTTTAGTATATTAATAAAAGTCATTACATCTCTTAAATACAACTTAAACTTAAAGCAGATAAAATACCTTTAATCTAACAACAAATTCATGATTTCTAGCTAGTTTTTCTTCTTCTTCTGTTGATGTTAAATGTCTACATTTATTATCATATTTGGGAGTCTCTCTTCGTCTGGCAGCATCTTTACGTAATAGTTCAAGTCTTTTAGGTGTACAAAAACAATGATAAGCAGTTCCATTCTGCAAATATTTAAATCAGTTAAAGCATGTTAGTTTTCTCTCCTTATTTATTCACATTGTCAATCAGTTTTATTGGAAGGTACATCTTCATTAAACTTCTAGATATCTTCTTGGCACATTTAAAAAAACTTTCTGATTTTATTTATTTGACTATATATTTACATTGGAAGTGCAGAATATAGTATGTTAATCTCCATTTCATTCATTCATTCAAACAGTTTTGGTTTTTATTCTAGAAATGACCTCGCCAACATTTGAAACACATATATTTTAAAACAAATAATAATCTCTCCAATGTCTAGGTGCTAAATGAAATTATAAATGGTAATACCTGTATCAATTTTTTGATTTCTTCATGGTAAAGATCTAATCGCTTTGACTGAAATCAGAAATTATAAAAATTACATTAGCTTGTGCAAACTATTATTATTACTTTTTATAACATCTGATACTATTTCTCATTTCTTTGGTTAGTTCACCACATAGCTAACTATTTAATATGTAGTGATTTTGTATTTAAACAACAGCTTTCCTTCTTCTATGTAGCTATGCCTTTAGAAATTCAAGTCCAAACTCTAAAACTCGAACTGGGGTCATGCTAGCTATAGTTGCTAGTTTCAGTGAAGATATCATAATTATGCATGGAATTTTGTTTTAGTATATGAAAACACAACATAATATACCACTTTTATACGTTCAAGAAATTCTGAGAAGAATTCAAAGATGAAACTTGTTTAAATCTGATACTAATTATTGAAGTTCACTCACTTAATGAGTTTAATGATATTGGCACCCCCAGGACAGTGGAGAGAAGAAGTAAATGGTTCAAATTACCTGTAAATATGGCCCGTAGTTACCACCTTGAGATGGTCCTAAAATGATACAAATATATCTTTTATTTGACAAACAAGGCATTTACTTTTATACAAATCATTGTCAGAGTAACAGAAGTTTTAATTAATACCTGTTCTCTAATTCATATTCTTCCATGAGCTGTATTTCTTTAGCAGGTCACTAAATGATCTAACTACCACTGACCAATTTATTTTATTTAAATTTCAAAGCTGATTAGATATTGAGTACATTTTTTGTATATGCCAATATTAGCAAAATAAACAAAGGACTCAAAGGCATAAATAAGTAAAAAAGATATAATTTTCCTACTATTGTATCGTGTAATGGGTATTTAACGTTCATTTTGAAGGTTGCAATCGCTGGCTATAAATTTGTAGCTTCCTTTTGTTTACATCAACAATATAAAGGAACTGGATGGAATACTTTTTGTAGGAAATGAAATGAAATGGAGTTTAATGTCCTACTGTTCTGCTCCGACAGGGCTAATAAAGACAGGCATATACCATAGAGTGTGCTATGAGGGAAAGTTTGCCCCGACAGCGCGCTACGGCCTACTCTTTCATCGAATTTCAACTGTCAAGGGATTTTTTACATACACGCCAACGAGTACATAGGACCTCAGTTTTTCATCCCATCCAAATGACTAGACAGCTGTCCTTGTCAGGTCCTCCATCCTGCACCAATGACAAGGAGAAACACTTATTTTCAAAGAGCTTATTAGACAGCAATATCTGCGAGTATCATCTGAAATACTATAATACTACCGGTACTCACAATTTGTGTCCCTGTTAAGAGTTACCATCATCCAACTTGACAACTACTAAGTGATCAGTGATAAAAGTTGGCAAAATAAATTTACTATAGGTACAACAAAGTAGACTTAAATAAATAAAATGTGTTAACAACCTTCATGTGGACTAATGCCCGCCCAGTCTAAAGCTTCTTCCAATTTCTGTTCAGCCCCTCTTACATATCTTGCCTGAAATAAAAAAAAAGCCCCTGAAATATATTTTCTTACGGGGGAGATATAACCTTACCTGACACAGGCACAACTCATCTATTTTAAATCTAAGCAGTCATGGTTTTAGTAGGCGGACACTTTCATTATAAGTCCAAAATCTGGCTTGATTAACTGATCCAATACTTGATAGTATTTGCTGTTATGCGAGATTGTGTTGCTACTGTAATAGTATTCTATAGCTATACTAGTACATGATAGAGAGACACATGAGCGTGATAGGATTGTCACCGAATTAGCTATAGTAAAAAGATAGGCCTGAACAATAACAATTCTACCCTTTCTTAAAATACCCAAAACGCCTAGTGATTGGTCGATATTGTGTTATAGAATAATGACAGTACGTTTCTATTAATCTTTGCACGCATGCCTTTTGTACTACATAGTAAAAAATATACCTAGTGGTATGCCTATTTCATTATATAATACCTGTAGCAATGCAAAAGCTTGCTAGAGGCGCCACTGATACTATTTTTATCAATGTCAAAAAAAAATGACCGTAAAATGTGTCGTTTTTGTTCTGCGACTTTGGGAAGTTGTATGAACACCAACATCGATGACTTTGCGCTTTTCATGTTAAGACGAAAACAGAGTTTGTGTCAAGTGTGACTTGGACGACTTATTTCATGTATGTTGAAAAAATAAAATTATCAGGAAAAGGCAAAAACGGCGCTCGTCACTGAAAGTAGAAATAAATTATATAGCCCAAATTTAAAAATTCCAATGAATAGTTAATGGTTGGAAGGATGTTTCCTGATAATTTGATGCCTATATCTTCAATGGTTGCTGAGAAATTGCCTTCAGTCACTTTTTTTTACAAATTTAGACATCGATCCATTTTGGGTCATAAAAGTGCAATAACATTCTTATTTCTTAATCGATTTTGAATTCTTTTTTTGTTTCTTAAATGGGAGGGGGGGGGGACTAGTAAATATTCAATTTTAGTCAGATTAAAAAATTTAAAAAAGCTTTTGCATTAATTAGTACCTGGTCTGTATCCTCAATTCGGAGAATGAAACGCCCTCCATTAGCTCTAGCAAACAGATAGTTGTAAAGAGCAGTTCTCAATCCTCCCAAATGAAGCATCCCCGTAGGGCTAGGCGCAAACCTAACCCTGACATTGCTAGGAGTACTCTCACAGTAATATCTACAATTTTTCAAGGTTTTGAACTGAATAAAAATTCGTCTGCACGTTTTCATGGGCGCCGCCATGACACTTGGTTATGGTTGTCGTAAAATATAATTACATTTAAAATGTACCTTTGTTGTTCAAGACTGTAAACTTCTATGACAGGATAGTATATTTTCTAAACATTTAAAGAATTCTGATTAATATTGTCCGTTAATAAATTTGGCTATATAGAAATCTTTTCAAAATAACATTTAACGACAATCACAAACCAAAACACGTGTTTACATGTATATTTCGTAAGATATTCACAAAATGTCATTTACGTATTCGTAGTCTTTACATACATCAAAAATGGTAATTAAATTGTATTTATCTTGTCTTGTCTTCCGGCGTAGTGTTATCCATTGTTGCTCGAATTTTGTTCATAAAACTGTATCATCCACGAAGACCAAGAATTTGAAGAAAGATTGTCAACAATACAATGGACATGGTCAATAATTTAATTAAAATGACATTCAGGGGTCACTCATCGAATGTTCCAAAATTGAGTGCTCTCGGTCTCTAGAAAGTGGCAATCGAGTAAATATGAAAAGTTTTTGTGACTAATCATGTAGTGCCAACTACAGAAGACATTAATCTAATAGGGCCAATCAAATGAAACTTAATGAAAGCCAAAAAAATTATTCTGATTATCGGCGCAGTACGATGATGCGGCTACTTAGGGTTAGGGTTAGTAGTTGAAGTCAAAAGTAGCCGGGTCAACGTACTAGGCCAGATCATCTTGTGATTAAAAGATAGTTACAAGATAGCTGTCTTGTAATTACAAGAAACCGGTACCGCTACTAAAAAGTCCATCAGGGTCAATCACATGAACAAAAGTGTTTTAACTAATATATTTCAACGTCACTCTACACTGATTTATCGGATAGCTACTGTCTGAACCATCATAAATTTTAAACAGATTTCTTTGATTATGAACAAGCTACTTGAATTGTCATAAAAGTACCGAAAACTGTTTCAATTTGCTATGCTGTCACCCCTTATACGAAATGATATCTCCCAAAGAGTGACGTAATCAGCTTCCATATTGGTATTTTTCTGTGTCAAAAGTTTGTGGGATTTCAATTTTTCAAGAGAGAACTTTTGTATTCGTTGTGATAATTATTTGTGCAATGGTTTCTATTTAACGGGAGTCGATTTCAAACACACAGGAAAGTTTATAATAACCAAAGTTAAGTAGTAATTGTTCATAATCGAAGAAATCCGTTTAAAATTTACGTTGGTTTAGACTGTAGGCCAACGAAGTACTTTTTTATGTTACAGGATCAGCACATTTAGTTCATGCTCCAATTAATATCATTAGATATTTCATGCCTTCATTAAAAATCTTTTATTTTGTTCATGCTCTTATTAATTTTATAGCCCCAACAACTTCATACTCTCATTGATATAATTTATTAATGATTCATTGATTTCGTGCTCTCCTTAAAGCCACGGAAAACACCATTCACATTTTTCAGAAAATTTTGTTTATCCAAGCTAGAATGTACACAAATTGATTATTAAAGAAATCAACAGTAAGAACACAATGATAGATCATTTGCAGGCTTGGATTCAAACTAATTAAATAGAGACGCATCAAAGAGGTTCTGCGAAACGGAAAGACGTTTTGTTTAAAACAGTGCTAATCCAAAACGACCAAAACTTACATGTATATAACTGTGTAAAGTTAAAATGAACGATAACAAAACGGCCAAAATGTGATAAAAATTTACCTAAATATACGTCAGTGGGTTCTTATTCAACATGCATTATGCAAGAGCTAGCATCAAATGTTATATAAACTATTAATTAGAAATGAAATGAAATGAAATGGGATTTAAAGTCATACTGTTCTGCTCCTAACCTGGGCTAATGAAGACGGGCATACGCCATACAGTGTGCTATGAGGGAAATTTTGCCCGGGCAGCGGTGCTACGGCCTACTCTTATATCTAATTCCAACTGCCAAGGGATCTTTTACGTGCACGCCAATGTGTACACGGGACCTCGGTTTTTCATCCCATCCGAACGACTAGACAGCTGTCCTTGTCAGGCCCTCCATCCTGCATCAGTGACAAGGGGAAACCACGCTGGAAAATACTATTAATTAGACATTTATTAAGATGACAAGACAATATATAATAAACTCTCGATGCCATCAGATGCTTACGGTTTTCAGCAGATTTGAATCATATCTGCTGTTCAAAGGCTGTTGATAATTAACCGTAAAAATGGATAATCGAGACATTGTTTATTATTGTAACAACGGTAACAACGACAATCAAGGCTACAGTGTTATTAACATGTTGTTTTTTGGCTCAGAGTGAAGTAATTTGACTGAAATTTTCAGCATGTTCCCTTTAGATTATCTATTTTTTAACTATTATAGCGAGAACTGTCAAATCTTTATCTAATCTTCCATTAAGTGCTGCTTTAAATAGCAAATATTAACCAATGGTTTTGATCGTATGGCCATAATGGCCAGTCTATGGTCGTTTTGACTAAAAGTTATGATTAACTTTTAAATTACTGTATTGTGATGCCTTGAGATTCTGTGTTCAATTAGTATTGCGCTTGATTTTTTATACACCATGACGAAATGACGACCTTTGGATGAAATATATTCCTGAATCGACAAATTTATGACAAACATGATTAGAATGCAATAAACTGTCCAAAATTAGCCCTTGCTTGATCTTACAAAGTGGCGAATTGGGGCTAATGTGAACTGTACCATTTTATTTTTTTCATACGAAATGGCAAATGAGATCATCATGCAATTTGACCCTTATTAAAGTGAAAAGATATCACAAGTAACAAATAAACTGGTTAGCTTATAGTAGTTAGTCTTCTGATGTATTTATATGAAATATTAAATCACAAATAAATGTTACTGTAGATAACAACAGAGAACAAATTTCAACGCATTTTTGTCAAAACTTCAAAATCTCAGATTCGTGGGTTCTGTTTAAATGGAAAAGATCGCTAAACTCAGCAACTTCTGCAGACAATAAAAAATGTTTAAAGTCAAACAAACGAAAACAAAAATGGCCAAAAAATCAAAATTTACAGAAACTTTCCAAAAAATATAAATAGCATTCTGTGGTTTTAAGGAGAGCATGAAATCAATGAATCATTAATAAATGAGATCGATGAATCATTAATGAATGATATCAATGCGTGTATGAAGTTGGTTGGAGTATGAAGTTAATGAGAGTATGAACTTTATGATTTTAATGAGGCATGTAAATAACAAATGATATTAATGGGAGCATGGTATGAATGTGCTAATAAAGTGCTTTGGCCTAGCTATTCGATAAATCAGTGTATGGCGACCTTGAAATAAATTACGTATCTTGTAATTACAAGATAATCATTTTATATAACTATCTTGTAATTACAAGACAACTATCTTGTAATTACAAGATAATCAGAATTTTTTTTTCATTCGATTTATTCTAATGGTCTTCCGTAGCCAACTGAATATGATTTGTCTCATCCAATCACCATAGCAGAAATGTTTGATTTCGTACCAATTCTGCTATATTGCCGCATCTCTTTTCTAAACTCACAGTATTGTAAACCTAGGCTACACAACTGAATCAGTTCGGAAGGTTCCAAACTGACAATCAAGCACCCCATATAACGCTTGTTATTTTCTTTCTCGAATTATTAGATTATCCGACTTCAGGATTCAGCATTTAGGCTCCTCCAACTTGGTTCATGTACATGTATGTGTGTGACATTCAAATGTCCAACAAAATTGATTAACTTCAAAATATTGTCATTCAGACTATTTTAGACTTATTTTGTTTTTTCTTTTTTTCACTATTTTTCTGTATGATTAAAAATGTAACAGAGCAGTGTAGACAGTATAAAAACTGATCAGTATCAGGCATTATTTTTTAAAAAACCCTGCTCAAATAACACAAATATATTACTGATTGTAAAGGCATGTTTTATTTTTCTTGCAGTCTAGCGGATTAATTATAGCTGGTATTGGTTTGGCAGCTGTGGGATTTGCAGGTACACATGTATAATATAAACATATTTTATTACCCTAAAAGAGGAAATATTTCACTATATGTTGTTGCAAGATATTTAGGGCAAAAATTGGCCAGGTTTTTCTGGTGTTTTCCAGAGGACCAGGTTAGGGTTAGGTTTTTCCGGTGTTTTCCAGAGGACCAGGCTCTGGGTTACCTATTTAGGGTGTTTTCCGATATTTAGTGTGTTTTCCGGTATTTAGTGTTTTTTCGGTGTTTTCCGGTATTCAGTATAACATGGTGTTTTCTGGTAGTTTTCCGGTGTTTTCCGGTATATAGTATAACCCATATTGACTTGGCTGGCCATATTAGCTATAATCAACTGAATATCTAAGAGTTGATATGGGCTTGTCATGTTAAAGATGCATTATGTAAGATTTAAATAAAGAACTGACAATTCTCTTATAATACATGAAGTTAAAAAATAGATTATTTAAAAGCAGTATGTTGAAAATTTCAGTCAAATTACTTCATTCTGAGCACCGTTAGGACTGTTTGGAGAATGGTGAGGTCTCGATTGTCATTACTACCGTTGTTAAGATAGTAAACATGTCTCGATGATCCATTTTTTAATTAAATCATTAACCACAAATTGTGTTTAAATCTGTTTAAAATCTTAATCATCAGGAGTTGATTATAGTCTTATTATATGTCTAATTAATAATTTATATAACATATAAGGTCTAAAGAAAGACCTGCAATAGGCAGATTTAGTTCTTGCATAATGCATCTTTAATAAATGTTTAAATGATAATTTATATGACATTTGAAGGCACAAAAATGCCTGGCAATAAGCAAGTTTAGTTCTCACTGAATTTGACTTTCAAATTTTTTTAATAATTTATGGTGTACAGTGTACCAGTACTTATTGAAGGATGGTTTTTGTATAGCTGTAATCATTTTCTGTTATTCAGGAAGATATGTTGCACGGTATGGAAAACAAGCCCAGCAAGCTATGAAGAAACAATTTGATGCTTTACCACAGTCTGGGGTAGGTACATGTACATGTAAACTTTAGGGCTGATATTGCGATATTTCTATTGTTGCATTGCAGTATGAGTATAATATTTCTACTCTGTATATGAATACAGTTTTAGTATACAGCTAATATATAATATAGCTGGTCTATATCTCGTTAATCATTATTAAAATAATTTTTATTGATTTCTCTATGGCTACAACCATGATTCTCCCTGCTTGACTCTTGTATATGAGTTATACACAAACTATCATCTCAAGATGTCACCAAAGGCCAGTGTGCAACTAGACACAACAATGAAAAATTCAACATTTTCGAGACAGAAACCCTAGTTTGAATATTGATGTGGTCAGGATGGTAGTTTCATTATCTCATGTTCACCAACCACATGAATGTCAACCACTGTCACAACTTCAATGTTCTAGAACTATACCGAAGTCCAAAAGAAAGTATACACACTAAAAATATGACTAAGTTTTGTTTAAATAAAAAAAATGTGATAAAACTACACTGAACACGTCTCGTGCGTCCAAACTCAATATTTCTAAGCAAATAAAAGGCAAACCAAATGAACATGGTACCCAAATACCGCATACAATGGAAAAACGACTTTGTTTGAAACAGGACGAAATGAACAGTGTATACTTTCTTCTGGACTTCAGTATAGAAACTGTAGTTTTAACATTGATGTGGATGGCAGGTCTAACAACACATGTTCAGTAAACATGTTGTGACATAACTACAATAGTTCAATATGTGACACATGTCTTCATTAATCCAGTTAGAAGTGATCTTATTTCCAGGATTTGCATGGTCTCTTTCTTGTGGCCAATCACAGAAGCTAATCATGATCTTCTCCAATGAAGAATGTAAACTAATCTGAATGAAGCAGTAATTGTTTATAGTATTTGATTCTTGGTTTGATCAAAAATCTTTCAAATTGTTAATCGTGATCAACATTTTCTTGCTTTTTTCCCCATATGGGTTGCCATGTTTAGCATGATGGTATAGAATTATGACATAATCTGTCATTTGGTGCACTTGGTGTACAAAGTAAAATACATGAAGCTGTCAATGTGGTTGTTGATTTTGATATTTCCTTTAAAAGAAAGGTTCATGTAAACAAGACATTCTCCAGAAATTACATTAATGCAGTGGTTCTCAACCTTTTTTTGCTAATGGCACACCTTGAAACACATGAAAAAATAGTGGCACAGCTGGCTAAATATATATGAAAAATATTGAAATTTTGCAAAATAAAAACATGGCAAGTCATAGACGGCATACAACCGTAGACACATACTAGTCATAGACACATAGAATGACTCAAAACTAAATAAAGAAAATCACAGTTATAAACTTACCAGTAGACACCAGTAAAAACTCAATTGGGATCACATGGTTTTTTGCATTTTCTTAGTGTGCCGTTCACAATTTCACGGCAAACTTAGGAAGATCTCGTGGCACACCTGTGTGCTGCGGCACACTGGTTGAGAATCACTGCATTAATGTTTGTGTATAATTTGGATAATTAAAATGTTTTTGTCAACTGAAAAACTATATGGTGCCGTCCATTGTAGTGACATTTATTAAATAAAATAAACCTTTCTAGTCTTTAAACTGTAATATTTTTTAATTTTTCAAAACAAAAGTCTTTTTAATAGAGTATTTATTATTATTAGAACTGTAGACTGCTACACATATTTAATTTTATGTTTTCAAAATTCACAGACACCTTATATTTTATTCTGTTTATTTATTGACAGGCCTTTAGTAAATATTATAAGGGAGGTTTTGAACCAAAGATGTCCAAACGAGAAGCTGGATTAGTTCTCGGTGTCAGGTAAAATTATTTCTGTTATTTAAGCAGTTTTGTGAAATATGTACATGTATAGGATCACATCAAATTCAGCTGTATGGTTTGTCAAACCTACCAAAATATATTTAATTTCTGCTTTTTTACAGTTATTTTTGAGATAACTAATGGATATCAGTCCAATAACTAATGTACCGGTAATTATATCTACCATTTACAATGTAACACTGCTTGTTCAGGCAACATGCACAATAAAAACAAGAATTCGTTAATCTTGGAATTTTTAATCATAGCTGAAATCAATATCAAAAACAATCTTCTATTTGTATTAGAAACTATTGATTTATATTTTTCATTTTTTTCACTCAGTCCTACAGCAAGCAAGGCAAAGTTAAAAGAAGCCCATAAAAGAATTATGTTATTAAATCATCCAGATAGAGGTATGACTGTTTATAAACAAAATATGTAGTATTGACAAAGAGTGAGTGAGTGAGTGAGAATTATATGGTTCAATTTTATTTCTATAATTCGCTTGCTAGTAGGGATCTTTAGCAGTCGGAGGAAACCGGAGGAATCGTAGAAAACCCACGAGGTTGGACAGGTGACCCTACTCCTTGTCACGTACAACCGGGGAATTGTAACCACGCCAGTTGACTCAATGACAGACCTTATGATACAGTTGAATTCAACATTAGCTGTTATCTCATTTACATTTTATTTTCACCAAACTGTTTGACACAGGCTCTCGTTGTTGGCCGAGAAAGTTCATCAAGATTTTCTGGTGTGGTTTCCTCTTATCAGTGGTGGAGGACCGAAGGCCTGACAAGGACAGCTGTCTAGTCGTTTGTATGGGACAAAAAAATGAGGTCCTGTGTACACATTGGAGGACACGTAAAAGATCTCTTGGCAGTTGGAATTTAATATAAGAGTAGGCTGTAGCGCCGATGTCCAGGCAAAATTTCCCTCATAGCACACTGTATGCCTGTTTTCATTATCCCAGTCGGAGCAGAATAGTCGGATGTTAAACTTCATTTCATTTTGTTTGACACAGAATGTTGATATGGTATATAATGAGCCATATTGTGTCAAATCAATTGTGGGACCATGCTAAGTTTTTAATTAAAGTCAATTAATATGATTTTTTATCGATATACATGTAAAAAACAGGAACTGAATCTGTAGTGACAGATAATTCTGTTTTATCTTGATTTTTTTTCTTTATTGTTTCAGGAGGCTCACCATTTCTTGCAGCCAAGATAAACGAAGCCAAAGATTTATTAGACAACAATAAATCTGATTCTAAATAATAAATACAACAAATTATAATTAAATATTAAAATATTATTTGTAAATAGTTAATATTGAAGTGAGAAAGTTAGTATGTAGTATATTTTATTAGATAATGAAAGACAGTGAGCAATAAAGATATACAGGAATACAGGTATTTGATTTTGATAAAAATGATGTTGAATTTTATGGAAAGAAGGAAATATTGTCACAAAGTATCTATATATCTGTGGTCCACAAATGATTGTGAATGCTGTAGAGGTTAAAGTTAATTTCTGATTGACTTAAAATTTATAAGCAGTGTTTAAGGTCACAAGACAAAGAAACCTGTTGATTTTCAATGAGTTATGAGACTCAGAAACCTGGGACAGAGATAAATAAATTTTCCCTTTACAAGCTCACCCATCTTCATTGGACCAGTCTGAGCAGAACTGCAGGACGTTAAACCCCATTTCATTTCTACACACACACATTTTCATGTGGACGTACTGCCCCTGTCCATCTTTGTGTCCACACCTCTGTTCACATTTGTTTGTGGACACTTTGGAGATAAAAAAAAAACTTGTTTATATCCCCAAGATATTGGAAGGAATTGATTTTGGCACATATCAGAACGTAACTTCCTGGATTATTGCCCCTGATTGTACGCTCTAGAGGTCACAATTTTTATTTGAATTTGATTAATGTTTATTACACAACTTTTCGTTAAAATAATGGCAAAAAAATATAATACATATACCAAGATTGGATACCTCTAGAAAATTGAATGGAAAGCAATGACTCTTCCTAATTATAAAAAAAAATATGAAATAGTGACATGTCTAGCAGCTGAATTCTCTTATGCAATTCCATAAAATAGTTTTCAAACAATAGGTCAATATTTGGAGTAAACCAAATTAGCTTTAAAATTAATGTAATTTTTTTAGACAATGATTGTTTTGTACCAACCGACTATAATATATTTTAGATCTGGGCACTTAAACATCTTATTATGGTATGTATGTTATAAGGCCCACTTTCCACTAATATATTCAGATTTATATTTGAAAGGTTAAAGTATATGATTATTGACAAATTTCCCCATTGAATAGGAAAAAGCTGAAATGAAAAAAAAAATCGCAAATGCATCTACTAAAGTAAAAACAACAAGCAAAGGAAAACAAAAGAAGTCCATCAGTGTATTTATTTAGACCTTTTGATAATACTTATAAAATACATTTTACTAGAACCTAATTAATCTTTGTTTATCTATTTTCTTCCCTTTCAAGTATATCATTGATTTACATCAAGCTTCTGAGTAGGACTACACACACAGTTGATATTAATTATAGTTAATTATTAACAACTTTATTATTATTGATAACCGTGACTATTAACATTTTAAGAGTATTTTCTGTGGTGGGGAGGGCGACTTGACAGTGCCAATTCATTCTGCTATACTTCATTTAGTCTGTGTCATACACAATATCATTGGTTTTAGGAAAGACTTGAAAAGCTGAATGAGCCCAGTTTGCATTCAAAATCTAAAGAGGTTATTACCAAATCGTACACGAAAATACCATTGTTTTAGTACCATCCGAACATCGGAATGGGTTTTACGTTACAAAACCATTGAATACTTTTGGAGTTGCTTACACGGGCTAGAGTAGCAGAAAACGCATTTGCGGTGGTTAAATTTTCAAATTTTCTCCGGAAGGGCCCCATACCCCGCGACGATTGATTGGTTGTTTGGAATTCGGGTCAGCCAGGTAGGCTATATTATACCAAATTGAAGTTGCTGTATTCACAGGCTGGAATAGCATGTAAACGATTGATTGGTTGATTGGAATTTGAGTCAGCCACCTTAATTAGGCTATATTAGACCACTTTGAAGTTGCTTTGTTCACGGGCTGAAATAGCAGGAAAACGTGTTTGCAGCCGTCAAATATTCCAAAATTTTCTTTAGAGGGTGGCTTCTTCGCCCCTCGAGGAAGACCGGCGCCGCTGTCTGTAAAACCCGAAATATTTTCGGGCATTTCGGGTTCTGCCCCCGTACCTGTCATCGAGCCCGTACGCCTATGCCTGCGACAACACAGGCGCAACATACTGTACGTTCTAAGCCATCCCTATTGAATCACATGACAGTTGACCGGTTGTAATGTTCTCATTTAACCCAGCAATACAGTTCCGGATCTAGTTACGGCGGATTACGATCTTCCAGTGAACGCCACACAATAGCATGGTGATGACATCTTTTTACGTTCCCTGCAACTGCATCATTCGTTGGAGCAAGACTACATGGTTTAGGGATGATGACGATATATTTGCAGTTTTGAATCTAGCATCGATTTGCAAGAGCTCATAATTCATCAAAGACATCCACTCTATTTTAGACGCTTGTCAAGTTATCTGTGTCCCGGCGTATTGGCAAAAAATTAACGAATAGTTTATGTGATGAATTTTCTTGATATTTTGGCGTTTGACACAGTCGCGGTCGGTTTTTGATTTTCTATTTTGCTGCCTTAGAGTTTCGTGTCAAAATCGTGCAGAACTGATTTTATTGCACATCAGTAAAACTAAAACGTAGCGTAGTAGGAACATGTATTTAGTATGTTTTTATGTAAAATCCCAGCTTCTGTGTTTTGTCAAAGTGACGATAGAGACCATGTATTTCTAAAAAAAAAATCAAGGCCGGGGGAAGAGAACCCCTCTTCCTCCCCACAAAGATACATTGTCTTAGGAACCTGGCAAACCCCTTGCTGCAAAAAATCCTGGATCAGAGCCTGGGGTAAGGGTATTGCGAGTTAATATATTGTATACTATTTTGGAGTCGAGTTCGACCAGTGTTTATGGGAGACACGTTTATATCTTTATCTTCGACTAAGATTCTGTGTATAATCTTATGGAAATAATGTTTATAGAGGTCCTTGTCTTTTCCCCTAAATTCTCCAAAATAAACTCTACCTCAGTACCCAATAAATTGATTGGAAAGCAAGTAACCCAGATGTAAATGCCATTACTTGGGCTATACAAAGAACGGCTCAAGCTTGCACCAGCTTTCAGACGACAGAATTCACAACATCAATGTTCATTCGATAAGATACATGATCTGTCTATATCGATGTAAAAATGAATATTTTTAAATTGTCGAATGATCTCACTTGGAGATTCCCCCACCCCACTCCGTCCCTCGCCTTTTTTGTTTTATCTTCATTTTTGGGCGAGTAACGAGAAGGAGCGACAAGCATTTCAAATACGCCACAGGTAATTATATTGGTGAACCGAGAAATACCACTAAAATTGCGGGTTATATTTATCCAGATATGTGAGTCGGCGTAGCGGGTCACGGTGGCTAAGTGGGTAAGACGCTGGCACGCTAGCCTGGAGGTCGGGTGTTCGATTCCTGCATTGGCCGAGAAAGTTCATCCAGATTTTCCGGTGTGGTCCCCCCCCCCCATTGTCAGTGATGCAGGAGGGAGGGCCTGACAAGGACAACTGTCTAGTCATTCGGATGGGACAAAAAACCGAGGTCCCATGTACACATTGACATGCACGTAAAAGATCCCTTGACAGCTGAATTCAATATAAGAGTAGGCCGTAGTGCCATCATAGCACACTGTATGGCGTATGCCTGTCTTCATAGCCCAGTTCGAAGCCGAACAGTAGGACGTTAAATCCCATTTCATTTCGATTCGGTGTAGATAACGTAACAGATGTTTCCGAGATTGGGAATATCATAGAAGTGAAACTGATCGAAATTTTGTCATAAGGATTATCATAAATCATGGATCGTATAGTTGTATGCATAAATGTTCCACACTGCTAAAAAGTTCAGAGGGTATTTTACTGCAGGAAATTCGGTTAAATGTTCCGTCTCAAAAACATTGCTCTAATTTACAATCTCTTGAGAACATATGATCCCCTTTTCAGATATATATTGAACAAAGGCCTAATGATACACAACGACCGTATAAAACGCTATAAAATGTATGGAATCACATATAGGACTATTCTCGTAAAACATAAAGAATGGTTTTATTATAGCTTATCGATTACTGAGTGAGAATATTTTATATAAGAAGAATTGGCAAATGCATTGTTTTTACCGGTAACTGAAAGCGAGTGACGTGACGGACTATTGTGCCCCATAAGAATAAAAAAGAAATAGATCGTCGGCGTTTCCAAGGTATCGGAGGAACGACAATAAATGGATGTATCGATCGACAAGACGCTGGTGCCATGCTCAATCATCGATTAATTACAGGTACGTTATAATACCGTGAAGAAGAGAGAAGGAATAAGTCAGGTTTATTTTACAACACGAAACAAGATGACCAAACATATTGTCTTTATTTTGGTTTATTATGTTATATGTAAGTATGTTTTAGCATTTTTCATTTGTAAAATCTCGTCTATTCGAAGAATTAAGATGGCAATACATATAGCCATGGTGTATTCGGTACAGCCAGCTGATTGTTGTGTGAAATGTTTTGTATTTACATGTATATGTATTTAATTAGAAATGAATGACGTACATACTCCCATTCTACTATTTTTATGAATATACCCTAAACATATATCCTATTGCCATAGGCATAGACAATTTCATACTGATATTTTAGAACATATGCTAAAATTCTTTTTTTTTCTTTTGAAACTTATCATCTCTGCATGACACTTTTCTTACTGATATTTTAGAACATATGCTAAAATTCTTTTTTTTTCTTTTGAAAGTTATCATCTCTGCATGACACTTTACTGAGACGAATGCCCTCCATCCCACTAGTACGCCCATGTGTCTATGTATTTTCATGACCTTTTATGATCGACCATACTGTATTTTCTCACACAAGAAAATGCCATTTATAAATTCAACATTGCTGTGGTATCACACCGCTAATTAGTATTACCTTTAAATGTTAAACAAAGCAATTTGCGTCGACCCGAATCTAAATTGTTTCTTTTCCTTTAGGCTATAAAATACAATTTGTATAGCTAAAAATTTGTCGGTATTATAAAAAAAAATAACAACGTCTGGATTATACAGGAACATGCAGAGAAAGGGTCTTTAGCAGACGGAGGAAACTAGGAATAATGTGTCTTTAGCTGTGAGAGGAAACCGAGAGAAAGGGTCTTTAGCTGTGAGAGGAAACCGAGAGAAAGGGTCTTTAGCCGTGAGAGGAAACCGAGAGAAAGGGTCTTTAGCCGTGAGAGGAAACTGGAGAGGACGGATTTACCAGCGGAAGGAAACTGGATAGAAAGGGCCTTTATTGAGTGAATTGGATTTCAAACTGTATTACTGGCGGCAAAGAAATTTAAATGGGACTGTCTTCCTTTTAACATTTATTTACCTCGCTTTGAATGCCGTGATAACAAAGAGCATTTATTTAAAATCTTTAAAACGCTCAATATACCAGTCTGAAAAGCAAATATAGCACTCCATACGATGTATTATAAAAAGTAGCCATACCAGAAGGCATATTGGCTAAAATGTTTTTTATTTAAATTAAAATCAACCATCACCATTACTTTCTATTGATTTCCGTGTTTTTTTGGATTATATAATGTTAAATCATAAGACTGGGTAATACTTCATGTCTATCCACGAACATCGAGACAAAGGTGGTATTAATTGTCTAAATTAATATCAATGGAATATTTTAGTCAGATGAAAATCTTGACATTACACTTTGGGGTTTCATTGATCGATGTATAAGACAATAACAAAGATTCTTGTACGCGCTCAATACTTTTATAAATTATATATACGTTGATATAAAAGATTTTATATATAATAATTGATTGATATTGGAATATGACAATACTAACGTGCGTAGTATACTGTATTTAGCAAGCATTATTGTTATATAGCAAGTATTATTGTTAAAAAAAAGTAGATCTCTTTGATTTGGGTAAAACATAAGATTGACTATTTCATTAGAATTTATGTTGATTTGCTTTTTGGGAAGATCAATCTAAATGTGTTTTCTGATAAAGCCAGTGTGAAAGATATAGCCCATTTTGTTTCACGCTGTCGACACATACAGTAAATTGATAAACAAGCCGCTATATATATTGCCAAACAAAAATGTTAATAGCATAGAGTTTGTCCCACGACTAATCAAAGATGTAACAAACATTAATTTTGTTGGCTATTCCTAACGACACAATTGGAAGGTGATTATAGTAGATACTTTATAAAGTTCCTGGTGTTAATATATACAACACTGGCATACATACATGTCGTTTATAGTTACAAAATGGGGCATAACTATTTTTTTTTCTATACAAACAAATAGTTCTTTTGAAGAATTGTAATCCTAGCTATACAAGGGCGGTTAAATACGACGTTTAAGATTTCTTTGCAGTAAAGTTTAAAACTCATAACACATCATGGCGGATCAATATATCAAACTTATAGATCCGTAAATATAGTTTATTAATAACTCCAGAAAAGTTTATCGATCATTCCAGTTCGTATAAATGTCAAACAGTTCGTATAAGTTAAACACCAGTTCCTTTTATAAAATGTCGATAAATTATTAATTGTTTTTTTTTTGAAAACAGGCGCTTGGCTATATATAAAACGATATAATAAACAGCAATATAGATTTTTTTTTACTTATGTTCATTAGAATTAAGATTGCAAGAAAACCCGACAGGCATACCAATTGGTAAACAAAGCACTTAAAAGTTAATGGCTTTATTGATATTAAATTGGTAATGTTGACGTACTGTAGTTCTACCTGTTCATCTTGTCAAATGTCTTGTAATGGCGGTGCATCAATTCTGTCACAAGAACAAAGAAAAAATACTACCATCGGTAGAATATACATTAATTTTACCATTGCACGTATCAACATACCAGAAGTAAATCAGGCCACTCTCACCATAAATCATGACATCCAGTGTACCAAAGTTCCATGATGACAGCCCTTTGCTGGCTGAAACTGTTTAACTGCCCCGAAACCTAATTCAAACAAAATAAAATACAAAACAAAAGCAAAACACCAAAAACAAAACACAAAAATACTCCTTCCCATCAAAATATGTCATTTGGTAATTGTGCATTTTCTGGGATAACCACGCATGGTTATTAGACAAACGACGTATAAATATAATGTTACTGTATTGTATTTTTCGATCATTTCAGATTGCACAGCCAATCAACCTCACCTGGGGTGTTATAAGGAAGATAAAAATGACAGAGATTTAACAGAAGAAATTTGGTCAAACAGAACTGACAGTTCCCAACTGAACATCACACACTGCATGATTTCTTGTCAGACACGAGGATTCGCGTACGCTGGGTTAGGATTAGGAGCAACAGAATGTTGGTGTGGATCATCTTACGGTAAACACGGAGTATCGGAAGGTACGTCTTCATTAAGCTTCTAGATACCTTCTTGGCACTTTATAAAAAACTTTCCGATTTTATTTTCCGTGATTTGACTATATTATAGTTACTTCGGAAGTGTTCAAATTACATTAACGTCGCCATTATCCCACTCGGTGCAGAAAAGTAGGACGTTAAACCCCATTTCATTTCAAATTAGATTGTATGAAAAATTTGAGTCAGGTCCGACCAGCCATACTGATGTTTTAAGTGTTTTAACCTATAGCCTGTAGCTATTTTAAGGATTTGAGCGTGCAAAATACTTTGCTCTAAGAATTGACTATAATTGGGCGAATCTATAAGGGTTATTCGAAATTTGCACTTGTATAAAATTAGTAACATTGTTTTTCTGCTGAGATTAAACCACTAATACAGACTTCATATAGCAATATAATATAATGAATATTCGCCAAAAGGTATATGTACTTCTGAGCCATATTCTGAATCATAGCAGCGCGGAGTCTTCAATTTCTAAGCTAGTTTATACTATAATTAAAATGGATAGATACACATCTCTACTATATAATTTTGTCTATTATTTTTGTAACGCCAGGTCGTTATCTTACTAGTTTAATATTCATTTGGTACGGAAACCACACGTGTAGTTGAATGGCTGAAACATAACATTTGATCCGGCTGCACTAATTGCTATAATTAATACATTGGACTTTAAAATATACCAACTTTGTTGGATCGTTATAAAGCCAATACATATTTAACAAATCCATTTCCTTTTTAGATTGTGTGTATGTTTGTATAGGATTTCCAGGCTATAAATGTGGTGGTTCACAGGAATACAATATCTACTACACAGTTCAACAAGGTAACAACTACTGTCCTTCACGTACCTTGATGATTAATCATTGGGATATAGTATTACAAGAAAATACAACTGAACGATTCGGGGAAAAACTACGAGGTTAGGTCACCCAGAGAAATTGATTCGAAACCACGACGCTTGCACCGATAACATACGCGTAATAACACCGGGGTCGAATTTCCCGATAAATCTACGGGGTGCCTATTTAGGTCTTCATTCTGTCAAGTTGGCTCGCTAGCTCTGCATTGGCCTAGAAAGTTCATCAGGGTTTTCCGGCGTGGTTCCCCTCGTCAGTGGTGCAGGGCGGAAGACCTAACAAAGGACAAGTATAGTCGTTCGGGTGGGACGAGAAAATGAGATACCGTATAAACATTGGCGGGACGGTAAAAGAACCCTTAACAGCTGGAATTCAATTTAAGAGTAGGTCGTAGTACCGCTGCCTAGGCAAATATTTTCTCATAGCACACTGTATCGCGTATGCCTGTTTTCAGTAGTCCGGTCGGTGCATAACAGTAGGACGTTAAACCCCATTTCAGTTAAATTTATTTCTATTAAGCTGAAGCGTCTAACGACATATCATAGTTCTGTAGTGTCATATAATGTGTTTTTCAGTGCCTACATGTCCAGCAAATTCTCAGCTTGTGGCTAGACAACCTTACGATGTATGTTTAACTGTTCCAAGTGCTCAGGTGAAAACGTATGAGGAGGCTAGAGATTTCTGTATATTACAGAACCAGGAAGTCGTGGCAGTAACATCAGACAAGACGCTATCTATCGTAGAGGAATTGCTGACCAATTCTTCAAACGGGTAATATTCTGCTAAACGTTTATACACATCTCGGGACTAATTTTATTTCACTAATTCCCTTGTTCGTAGGGTCTTTAGCAGTGGAAGGAAACCAGAGGACCCGGAGAAAACCCACGAGGTTGGACAGGTGACACTAACCAACCGGGGAATCGAAACCACGCCAATTGACTCAATGACAGACTTAATGATACAGCGCGCACGCGCAAACCATTCGGCCATCCAACCCCCTCGACTCTTATACCGCTTGATTGTTTAGTTTGTTATTTGAACATTGACGTCATTATGATACGCCCCAGTTGTAAAGTCCACCTACTAGTACACTATTTTGATCATTTTCTATTTGTGGACATTGAATTTGAACACCCTTTAGTACTCTTTATCAGTTTTATGCCGCTCAAAGATGAGTTAATTTATTTTGTTGACAAATGACAACATCAAAACATTACCAGATATGTCTTGAACGGCATGAATTTACATACAGAATATTAAATGGTTTTATGGATGTTTTTTGAACGAAAATCAATTTTTATTCTGTGTTTCGGTTAGTTTCAATTTTAGGATTTAGTTAATAGACAATGTAACGACGATTGAGACCAAAGATTTTGCTCCACTGACTCACGCCATAGCATAATTTAACACACGCGCCTCGAATTATCTTCAATTTCGACAAAGTTCCATTTTGTTTTATTAAGATTCATCAGAGGGAGGTCTCCGCTCTATTGGTCCGATTTTTTTTGTATTCAACAGGGATGCTAGTGTATGGGTTGGTCTAACAAAACCCACATCAACCGGTACATTTAAATGGACATCCAAACACGAAGAAACATACTCAGCAGAATGTAAGTCAAGAATCAGTGGCGATAAATTTTTAGAGATGGGATAAAAAAAGGTGGTGTTGGCGGCAACATGTTGAATTGCATGTCAAAACCATTCATGCCGAGCAGAGTAATGCGTGAAAATTTGCTTTATTGTTACTATGGCAAACGAACCATCTGTATCAACCTAAGTTGTATTAGGTTCTCTTACGAAGCGAGGCATCATATAGGATCAAGTGGCTTATCAACACAATATAAGGATGGACTTCACTATGGATGTATTCCAAATATATAATTTAGAAGGAACAGCAATAAACAATGTCCCAATTGTAAAATTCGTATGTTATAATTGAAAGAAATATATAATAGAGAGTCACGGACCTTAAATTTTCTAATTTTAGAATTTTGAGGAATTTATTACCCCATTATTTAGAGGGACTGTAATTTCATTTTTCATTTGGAAGGTCGCGAGGCAAAGCTATATAGGAAACAGATTGAATTCATGAGAATCTGCACCCTCACCTACCCCCAACCCCACACGTTAATTATTGCACACTAGGCATCGAACATTCTATGTTTTATTTAATTTCAAAAGTTCTTCTATTTTTCAGCCATAAGTCAGTTCTGGACGACTGGACATCCAAACAATAATCACCTGTGTGTACTATACAATAGTCAGACTGGCAAGTTGGAAAGTGGTAATTGTTCAGACAAAAAACTGATCATTTGTCAGACCACGTTAAGTAAGTCATATAAATAACGTTGATTTAAAAGAATTTGCATTGCTAATATTATCAGCGAGATGTTAATAATGTTAGCATACCGATTTTTGAATAAACAATCGATTTTATAATATAAAAGTCCATTAAAACTCTTAAAACAGTTATCGATATAATTTATTTTGTTCTTATCGTCTCCTTGACAACAGTCACTCGAAATAAAAAATATTATATTATGACGAAACGGATTTTTTTTTCAGGACAGCGGCTCTACAGCCTACTCTTATTTCTAATTCCAACTGTCAGAGTTCTTTTACGTGCACATCTTTGTGTACTCGTAACCCCAGTTGTTCGACCCATCCGAACCACTAGACCGTTCTACCCTACTGACAACGGGGAACCACACAGAAAAATCCCGGGAACTGTCTTGGCGGACGTCGGACCTCCAACCCCGCGCCCCAAATAGACTTCCTCCGCACGTGGATACTTCGCAGATTGTTTTAACTGTACTTATTCTTATAACGTCATGTACATTTTGTACTTTCAGACAAAACATCGATTGTGATCCATAAATCTATTGGAGACAAGATTGCTGAATTTTTTTCTGACAAAGGAAACCTTGCTCTGATCATCATTGTTGTGCTGATAGCTATGACTGTGGTTGGATGCTGTATAGTCTACAGTTTCCACAAAAAAGCGAAAGAAAAAAGAAAACAAGAAAAGATCAATGGAAGGTCGAAAAAAAAGTTTAAGCAGACTGGAAATGATATAAGGGTTTACCCTGACAACGACAGACATTAATTCTATGTTAAAGTCCCAGTAGCCCCAGTTAAAATTTAGGTGTTCCTTATCTAGCTGTAATAACAATGCACAAATTGTATTCCTATATGCATTGACATTATGTCCATCTTTAAGTAGTATATAACAGAGAGTTAGAATAGATTCTACCTCTCTCGATAATAATTTACTAGATATAAATCCATAAAAGTTGACTTTGTCAATATTCATATTTATATCCAATATTAATAAAGACAATGACCTATTTATAAATGTAATTTCCTTTGTTTACTGAAATTTCAACTAAATGAAAATTAAAAATTCCAAATTTCATAAATCTACGACTCTTTTGCCCAATTAGCTCGTGACTCTTTATTTTGTATTTGTATCAATAATGGAATAAGACGTATTCCTTTTCGGACATTGTTCTGCGTTAAAAAAATGTTATCTCGTAGTAACCAAAAACATAAATAGATTGGGAAAACCCTGAAATTATATAAATTAGAATAAAATCAATAAAATCAAACAAACTAAATATCACAAGCAATGCATCAGAATTCGGTTAAGTATTATTCTATGGTGAATAATGGACTTTATTGTCATTTAGAAATACGCCTTTGGGGCTACTGGGAATTTAATTAAGGTGTCTTTGAATCGGAACATCGAGTTGAAAAAAATCATGCCTTAAATCTATTAATCACAAATTATAATCTTTCATTTTCTGTATATACTTATTATAACGGCATTGATCTGGGGGTGTTTATTAGCATAAAATATAATCGAACCAAAATATAAATTACAAAAGTTTATTACTGTCATTACTTATAATGCTCCATTCTTAAAAAAAAACAACTCCCAAACAACCCCCATCAAAAACAATGTCATTAAAACCTAAGCATTGGAGAATCTCAGCTTATAATTCATGGGCAGGTATAAAACGAACCCTTCTATCATTTTCACTGACCTACTCTATACCAAAAGAGAAATGAAAATTACAGAAAGTTGTCCTGCAGCACCAGATGTCAATTCCGTTTCGTTTAATTTCTCATGTTTTACTAAACTGTGAAAAAAATCGAAACGAAACTGTTACCTGATTTTAATTATACAGATGTCGCTTATCGTATGTTATGTGTATGTTAGTTTTGCATACTATGATATTGTAGTCTATGTCTGCTAGACAGTAATTAACATTACAGAGTTACTAAGTTAATTGTGTTATCATTCACTGCTTTTGTTATGTTAACTTAACCCTTGTTTAATTACTTAAGAGTAATCTATAATGCAAAATGATTTAGCACCGTCATTTTTCGTGGCAATTATTTTTTCCCGTTTTTAAGTAAAAACAAACTGACCATTATGTCTATGCACGTTATGCCTAGCGCACACACAACCATCCCATCATTCAAGCACGTTTGTTTTAGGTAATCTTACCATGTATGCGCATTTAAACGATTGAAAAGATTTTCGTCGCTGAACCGAAAGTAAAATTTTAAGGATCTATCTGTGTGCGCTTCCACGTAACGTCAAACGCAACACAATATGTTGTAGAGAAAAATATGTCTGTATTAAAGATTATGATCTCCCTGTGTGCTAGGCTATACCATTTTATACATACACAATGAGGTAAAACGTTGACATTGCCCTTTCAGTATTTGTTTATGCAACTTGCTTTTAAAAATGAAATATTAAGTGTTTGTTAATAATATATTAATGCTGTAGGAAGTCTATAGTCCCGTTTTCTCCAGCCAAACCGTCAAAGCTTCCGTGACAGCGAATATTGATTTGGACAAAAGAGCATCCTTTGCGTATATATAAAGTGTCAGGGGTCACACTAAAGTCCTGTGGGTGGTTAAGAGGAATAATAACATGCGCTTTGCTTTTGAAATATGCATAGTGTCTTGTTAATTGGAAGACTAAAAAAAAAGAACCGTGTTTGGCACCGTTTGCTTTGTGTGTGTGTGTAAACCAGGCGAACACCAGGCGATCTTCCGGCGCCAAACTGGTTTAGCCTTTGTGAACCAGTTACGAAATTTGTCATTGTAGGCAACGGGCGGCATTGTATCTTGGTTAATATTTGGTGCAGTCTAAGGGTTGACAAATTGGGATGGAGCAATCAAGACCAATCAATCAATTACATATTTTTGACACAATATATAATGTTCATTTAGAGATTTATTGATACAATGAGGAATTATTTATATAAACATAAGCCTGGTCAGTCCACCCATTACCATTTTAATCATTAGTAACTCATAGAGATATTTCTAAGTAAGGTCGAGCTCTAAGTGTTTTTAATTGTTCATTTCAGATCGAGAATGACTTTCACTTAACGGTAGATGTGTTTCCCTTAGAGACAGAGCCATTCCTAGCTTCAGTAATAGATAATTATCGATAAATTAACGACAATACATTTTATTTTAACCCACAGTTTCTGTCAATAGGTTGAATTTATTCTATGTTTACCATGACTGCGTTGGTGATTTTAACCTTTCTTCTTCACCACTAGTTAATATAGATTATATTAAAAGTAATCGTTATTTGTTTAAGTATACCGTATATATGTATGTATAACCCATTAGCTTATCTGATTAAAATAGACGATTTAATTATTAGGTTATGCAAAACTAGAACCATTTGTTATGGTATGTAAACTTTCGAAACAAGAAATGTTATTAGGTATTATATAATATCCCATATTCTCATTCATTATTGATTCTATTTTGTACCAGGAACATATTTTTAAAAGTATGTTTTCTTTCCTATTTATGTGTATTTGTAAATTTAGATTTAAAAAAAGAAAGGCAACACATTGTAGCTGATTTTAAGAAATTGGCAATCTGTACAGGGCAGTAAAATCCATTAACTTAAAGACACAACAAGCCCGACTGTTCACATAAATATCCAAACTTCAAAGTATCTACATGTAATATTTTAATGAACCATAATGACTACTAACAACAATACCAGTCTAACTTTATTTGTCTAAACCCATGGCATACTTTCTATGGCTACAACGCAAGTTGGAATTTGATCGATCTGAATAGTTTTTGACTAAAAAGTACCTTTCTGTGTGCATGGAATTTAACCTTTAGTCTGATATGTTAGATCTTTAAAACAATGCAAGAAACATTTTTTTATTCCGTCCATGAAAGATAAATAAATATATTTATTTTGTTAGTATATGTTTATAGTTATTATAGAAATTTGATGTTTATGGTATATATAATATATAAATGTTGTATGATAATATACTGCTGCTGACACATTTTCTCGTTTTCATATGAAATTGTTCGTGATGAATAAAAAAGTTTGTGTATTTCAAGATCCTGTCTATGTCTTTATAATTCAGGAAGAACACTTTAATTCAGGAATACGTGTTATTTGCTTTAGCAGTTTCTATGTAAATGGATCTTCCCACGAAATTTGTATTGGTTAAGCCCTAACCCTAAGGTATGCATTTGGTGAACTCTAACGCACGCGCGAATTTGTATACGAAACAACATCGTTTTTTCGTGCCATCAAAGCAACCAGGCGCTATCTATCCCTCAGAAGCGCGATGTCACATTTCACATTGAAACCGGATCAGTGGTCGTTTGAAAACATGCAATGAAATACAATAGGTATAGTTTTGCCTCTGCATATTATGTGTCGATTTGTTCCATTCGAATGACAGAGTGTTAGGTTTTACGTCTCTTCTACACCTTGCTTCTATATGAGACCAAAATAACGGGATTTGTTTATATTGATAGATGTGTGTACAATACAGTATAGCAGCGTTTCCAACAATTCTTCTACGAATTTTAACGTCCAATGGATCTTTCGTGTGCACTACAAATTTCTACACGTGGCCGACAACTTGTCACTTTCATTAGCAACCCCACAGGCGCCACACATGACAAGTGATAAACTGGATTTAAAATTTCAGAGTCTAATAAATTTACCACGACCACATGTGCGGGAGTAGAATTTTAATAAAAAGCGACGTTTCCGCCCATTTGGCTTTTATTCCGACCACCAAAGGTTCTTTTACCTGCTACCAGCTGAACAGACGACTAGACACAATTTTCGTGTTGATCCACTGTAGAATGTTACGGAAATAGACATAGAATTACTATGGTATAGTTATTAACCGAGGTCATATTAACCGCCACATTACATAATATAGACATTGACTGTTGTTTATCAAATAATAAAATATTAGTTAAGCTAAATTAAACAAAACATCAAACATTATATAGTTAGAATTAGGGTCTATTTTAAGGTTTTATTAACGACGCCCGTTTCCGAAGTTGTGGGTTTGTAGGGGCGGGGCGGTTATTGACGACGCCCGTTTCCGAAGATGTGGGTTTGTAGGGGTGGGCCGGGGGGGGGGGGGGGGGTAAGGTATTCTCTCTGGGAAGTTGTGACATAATTGGCCATGACGAAATCCAACGAACGGTCTCTCCGAAAGTGGAATTAAAGCATCATCACGTTTACACTTTTGTAACCCACTTTGACAGAACTGACAGATTAATATTTATAATCGCGTAGCAATATCATCGGTCAAATCCAAAATTGATTTCGAGGAAGATGAACCTTTATTATCACATACCACTGACGAGTTTCTCCTTTGTACACAGACAAATCATCGGTTAATTTCGTCCTATATATAGGCGATTGGGTGTGTCACTTGGGTCATCAACCGCTTCGTTTTTAGAACCCCCCACCCCACCCCACCCACTCCACCCCGAAATGCGACTATGTACAGATATCATGACACATGATACCAAACCAAACGACGTGACGTATCATCATAATGATTTCTGGTGGCGCTCTTACTCACATTTACTCACATTTATAATTACACACTCACATTAACAAGTATACATACAAATTTCAAAGCACGGATTTCAGATTTTCAAAGCACGGATTTTTCATACTGATGCAGGTCCATAATGTAGGTTCGTCAAAATAGGCCCTGGTTATAATATACTGTTCAAAAGGACACATCACTTATATACATGAAGAAACTGGTGTCATACATTATTTTTTAAACTGTTATTGTTGGCTATATATCATTATATATATCTTGACAGCGTGTGCATGTTGACTGCCACAGGACAAAAATCAATACAATAATGGCCAGCTGACAAACTTGTTAATTGAGTACACGTGACTGACTGAGTATGGATTGCTTTAACCGACGAAAATTACATCTTAAATTGATCCATGTTGACTTTTCAAAAGAACTGGTCCTTGTGAAAGATGGATTTTCGAAATTTTCGGTGTGACCATCATGGTTCACAACTGAAAATCATCGAACCGACTGGTGAAATGATTTTGATCGGACATATCGGTTTGACCACCATGCAGCAGGTTTACCGGTAGAGTTTTTTTTGTGGAACAAACTGTTCGTAAGTTTCAACAAGATGGACTTCAAGGTCTACAAAATTGTTCTAGAAAACAATTAAAATGTTTTTACTTCTGCTCTAAGCATATTGGATGTGCGACATCAACTGAAAACGTTACACTCATTTGAATCATATAAATCAATGGTTAATTATCTAAACCTGTGTGTGTGGCAATTAAAGTAACTCGCATAATTCATTGAATAAAGGAAACCCAAACTGTATCATAAACACTACAGCCATATCATTGAATGACGTACAGTTTGTTCTGGTAAAGCAGTCCGTAATTACAGCTGGTGGTCATCGCGCATTAGTTGCCCGGATGATTGCTTAAGGGTTATTTTTAGTTACAAAGGTCAATCGTCCACTCAGCATTTAAATCCAGCATTTGTTGTGTAGTTTGTATATATAAAGACAATGGATATATTTTGTCTGTTTTTCACATAAGGTAAGATTTATTCGTTTTCAATGTTTAATTTACATTCATCGGTTAAAAAAATGTAATTGGTTTAGAGATATATCCCACGATATTACGTTTGTTTACATTTTCGCTAGAACAGCTGTTTTCCACATCGTTATATTGCAGGCAACCATTCAATGGTTCAGAATATTCCAATAATAAATTAATTCGAATAGTAAAACATTATATTATTTGAATGTTAGATTATGTATTTGCAACAGTTTTAATTTATGTTGGAAATAATTGGAAAATTTCTCAAGAGATTGTGTTGTTGATATATTGGACGAAGAGATGAATTAGTGTCTGACATCGTATAGCTTAATATTTATTTGGAAGTGTTTCTAAACTGAATTCAAATCATGGTTTTAATCACATTATTTGCGTTTAGGTAACATTTCGATCTATCACAGGTATATATTATTATCTAGTATTATATTGACACATTTAAAGAAAACAGTAGAAACAGCATTATATCACCATGGCAATGGGTAAAATCTGACGGAAGCGATATTGATTGATGTATGTCCTGGTTTATGATTTCATTGTAGCACAATACTTTTTAGTACACGTTACTGGTTCTCCTTCTGTTAGTGTTTAATGTCCACTTCCACAGATGGTGATATCACAGATAAGTTGTCTTAATGCTTAGCGCACGTGCAGGGGTATTTCCTGTTGGAGAAGACCGGAGTAAACTCACGAGGTTAGGAAGGCGCCCCTATCTACAAGCCGCACACGCTCACACAAAGGATCGAAACCAAGACCGGAAGTCAGAGGGGACCGGCCAGCTGGAGCTTGAAGCGCGACACTCTAGACCACTTCCACCCCATTCCAAACTTGGGCTGCCTGTCTGCAGTTATCTCCTCATTTTGCCAATATTTTCAATATCAATTTCGAGACTTAAAAAAACAAATCTACACAAGAACAATATAGTATATCTATTCACTTAAAACTTGATTGATAAAATTAATTTGATAAAAGTCATTATCTTGTAAAACATAATACTTTACCCCTAAGGTAATAAACTGTAAATATTCTCTGTAAAATACTCTAAGTAGCTGTTTCCATTTTAAAAGTGTGTGTTATAGTTTATTACTCTATCCAGTGACCAAATCCCACCAAAAGTTTTAACACGCAAGGGTTCAAAATTATTTCAGTTCAAGTCATTTGGTTCGAGGGGCAAAGCTGGGCCAAAGGTTTAGGCAAAGGCGCGGAGATTCAACTAGGTGTATGGGATCCCCCCACAGAAATTTCTGTAAAAACAGACTGCCGGAAATGCAGTTTGGCAGTATTTCAGGCACAGATCGTCGAGATAAATAGATCTGACCAGATACCACCTGTCGCCTGCCATCTAGTTTATCTTATCGGAGTGGAAAGTGTCAAACTTTCGTTAATCTGTTCAATTTCTCTGTGCATCTTCGTACGTTGTCACACCTATGCTCTACCATCCGCCATGAA